CTAGCATTGTAAAGAACAATACTTCGAATAATGTGTTATGCAAGCAAGTTTGATTCTTTATTATATTAAGTAGGTTTAACTGCAATATAAAATTAATGCAATTTGATTAAATTGGTATATTAATTAAATCTAAATAACCGATGCAAAGTACAAACACTAATATACACACATGCTAATAAAATTTATAATATTTAAGGGGCTAAACCATTTCAGTTTAAAACTATTACAGAATACGCATAAAAAGAAGAAACAACAATATTATGCTGTTGCCTCCAATATTTACCGACCGTATTGTGTAAAAAAATAGGTAGGTTATGTGATGGCAACAAATTTTGTATAACGAGTTTTCGGTAAGAAAGCACTTCTCCATGGCAGGGAAGTGTAAATAAACGATTTTTAGCAACCTATCAGTGTGTCGGTCTGTGATGAAATTTTGTATGTAAGTTTATTTCGACTGTGGCAGGGAATGATGAACTTTTGGGTCTCGGGAACTGCACTTTTTGGCGGGACTGTTTTACATTTTTGATCATTATGAAGATATTACAGATTTACTTGAAATTTCATATATAAGATTCGCTCGAACGTCCGCGAAATACCTAACTTTTGGAAGCAATCAGGTGTCAGCAACTGGATGTTTACTAGGGCCAAATATATATTTTTGCGTACATAAAGAGAAATAATCAACCCATTTCATTGAAATTTAATATTTAAATTCTTCGTATTAAAACAATGAATCTATAAAACTTTTAGAAAGACCAGGGCTCGGAAACTGATCTGGGGCCGATTATACAATTTTTACCATATCTACGAAAGGAATTGATGGAATTTTTTGAAATTTGATATTTGAATTCTGATTGTTACCGAAACTAACTGACGAGGAAATTGGGGTAGCACAAAGCGAAACTCTGCTAAGAATCAAATTTACATTTTTCTAGGTATGTTAACTATAAGTTTACTAATGCCCTAAAAATTAGGAAGAAGTATTTAGCAGGCGTTTTTATAATAATTTGTAACACTTTAACTTAACTAGACAATACACATTGCGGTCGGTTACGTGCTGACCACAACAAATTTTTTTATTTAAAATGGAGGCAGGGATGAATCACAAAAAATTTGATATGAGAAGGGCTGCACAATCTAAATGAAAAACATTAAAATTAATTATAATATTTATTGTTTGATTTAAGATGAAGACATAGCCAAATATTAAACGCAATTTACTTATTTTGCTACGTAAAATGATTGAATTTTTTGAATTCATTAAGGGTTTAAGTATATTTTAAAAACAACAGGTAAGTATATACATATTTTGTTTAACACGGGGAACTTAAATATTAAATTTCAATGAAATCGGTTGATTAGTTCTTTTTATATACGGAAAAATGTATATTTGGCCCGTAGTAAACATCCAGTTTCTGACACCTGATTTCTTCCAGAAGTCAGGAGGTTTCGCGGACTGCCGAATGAAACTTATATTTGAAATTTCAAGTAAATCTGTTGAATATTTTCTTTTTAATGATCAAAAATGTAAAACAGGCCCGATAAAAAGTGCTTTTCATTTCCCTACCATGGAGAAATGCGTTCCCACCGAAAACTCGATGTGCAAAACTTGTTGCCATTACATAACTTACCTATGTATACACAATACGGTCGGTAATAGTTTCTGTCAGCTGTAGAAAATATACTAACATAATTTTTAATCCATAATTATTTTATAAAAACCCTGTAGGAAAATTTGTTATCTAGTCTTCAAGAAATTCATTTGGCATGTTATTGGGACCAATACATAAGCACCTACCTACACAAAATATTCCACTGCTTTATTGTTTTTAAGTTTGCGCTAATTATTTCTGTTTTTATATAGATTTTCAAAATTAAAGACTTTTTATCAAGTAAAAATTTAAACGCGAATTGAATGTGTTAATTAAATTATCACTGATAAACTGTTCAAACCTTGTAATATTATTAAACTGAAAATAGGTACAGTACAAGTTATTCAATATAAGGAATGCAGCAGAAAAAAAAGAAATGAACGGGCGCATGAGCTGGCTAGGTGTGGTTCATCACGGTGAATACATATCGGCATTATTTATAGGGCGACGACGCATGTGGACAGGGTCCACAGGGACGGCAAAAAAGATGTAGCCAAAATGCTGGGACACAACACAACGTGTTGCAGCTACCAGGAGGTGGGCAAGGAAGAGACCATTTTTCAATATCTCTACGAGTATCCGGCTCTGAGGGGAGCGTGATTATGTGTGGCGGAAACATATTTTATATTGAATTAAAGGAAAATACACGTCAAATTCATCTCACTTAAGTTTATTATTAGCATAGCCGGAAGTGAATGAAATTTCATATACTTAAATGCATATTTTTTCATATTTAGGCGTTAATTTTATAATTTCGCCTAAATATTAAATAATTTTTTGATTATTTTGCATATTTTGTGCAAAATGACATTAAACATCATATTTCGATAAAAAAAATGTTATAGATCTTATTAAATTCATAGCAATTTAATATTTGTGTCAACGAATAATATTGCAAAAACAAAATTTAGACATAAGCAAATCGTTTGATTTGCTAATTAAAACAAAAAACAGTTTTCTCAAGTTTAAAGCAAGAAGGGGAAACAAATTGCAAAAAATAATGGGAAAGTAATAAACGAAAGAATGAGAGAAAAATATCAGATGTATGTACGTCTATTGTCCAAAACCCCAAAAATTCTTATAGCAGGTATGCCAGATGTGTTGTGTCAAAGTGAAATCATTGAAGCTCTATGAAAATAAAAAGCATAAAATGCTGAAAGTGTATAAGTCATTTAAAAATAAATTAAGCTACAACGTAGTTGTTGAAGTTGATGGTGATTCATTCAAAAAAATTATGTCTACTGGATATTTGAATGTGAAATGGAATAGATGTAAGATGTAGGAATCAGTTAATGTTGCAAGATGTTTTAAATGTTGGGCATTGCAAAATTGGAAACTGTTGTTATAAATGTGACGATTTACCCCATAATGTGGCTGAATGTAAAGCAGAAAACAAAAATTGTAGCAGAGCAAAATTGTAGGTGGGTCTTGAAAATCTTCAGATAAATCATAATACAAGAAGTTTTCATTGTACAATATTCCACGTATCTACAGAGAGCCAAGTTGATTAATTATGGCGCCGGATTAAAAAAATTAATGAGAAGAAGCTTAATTGTGAGAGACTTCCATGATAATTGCTTGACATCATACACGCAGAAAAGAATACTATGTGAAGTCATAGCTGATAATGAATTCAAACAAATTGTTAGTGAACATACGAGAATTCCCACTGAAACAAGAACTTTGGTCGATTACGTAATTGTAAGTAACTCATACACATTTAATGCAAATTATCCAGAATTGAAACTTAGTGACAATGAGATGATTTAGATCATACGAATCGTCAACAAGACGAGAATAAAATCGCTGTGATAAAAATTACGTTTAAGTATAATAAACATAGATTTAGTAAGCCGTAGTAGCTTAGAAATTACTTACTTTGGAAATTGTTATTTAAAAGCAGGTATGTTCAGTGCAAATTTAAAGCAAAATTTAGGAAATTTTATAAGTTAGCGCAGTTTTAAGAATATAGTAAAGTTAATACTGGTCACCATCGAATTAAAGAAATTGAGATTGGACAGAGACGAGCAATATAAAAAGGGAATTTTATTAAATAACGATTTAGGATTTGTGAAGTATAAGGAAATTACGAATTTAAAAGAGAAAAGAAATAAATATGGCAAATATTATTAGCCTTATCAATTTTAAACAATCAATATTTTTTACAATTATTTGTAGAATTTTATGAACCTACTTTGCAGATAGTTTAGATTTTTCCAATATATCACTATAAATGCTATAATGGAATGAAAATCAATGGAAGCATTAGAAAAGTGCAACAGTAACGTTAAATTAATTAAAAAAATAATCTCACCATTGCAGAGGTTATGATATTTTAACTTTAATAATAATGTAATGTTTATTGAAATCTTAATGTTAGAATTCGGACATTAGAAAAAACTTCAAATTTGACTATAATTAAAAAATACGGAAAAATAATTCAAATATTTTAAATATGATGACATTTAAAAATACAAATTTTTGAAGTATTACTGACACATATGTTAGTAATAGAAGCAGGATGGAATTAATACTGACAGAAGTCATTTTTCAAAATTCTTATTATTTAATGTTTTTACTGCGAATAACTTATGAAATACGTAAAAAAATAATCAAAATATTTAATTTTATGCAAATACATATATTTTTTACATTCGCACAAACCAAAAAACAATAAAAACAAAATCGAAAACACACTTATTTGAAGTTTTGTTGCCTTCAATTTGCCTACTCCTTGTTTTTGTGGTAAAAATTGCAAATGCCTATTTAATCCAATTAATTCCTTAATAGCTAATTTAATATTTGTCTGTTTAAGTAGACAATTTGTTAATTATTTTTTTTTAGGATTATTTCTAATAAAGAATGGTATTCATATTAAAGCAGGTAGAACAAGTTTTCGGAATCCAGTCAAACACAACATTGATTTAAAGGCAACTTACTTATTATTTTCAACGATTCGGGCCCAATATTGGAGATATTTTTTGATTTCGATTAAATTTCAGTAATTTAAAGGATGAAATGGAAAATAGTTAATTAATATTTATGAAACGAAGCCTACCTACCTACCTTTCGAAAATTATATTCGATTTCAAAGTTTCTTAAAAAGATAAGTAGTATTTTTGTTATACGTAACATATTTGTAATTTTTTTATAAGTATGGGTACCTACACTAGTAGATGCCTATCAACCTGCTTAGATTTTTATTTACAAATTTTAAAAAATTCAATTGAGATAAATTTCAAAAGTTACTAAATTAAGTATTAACATATTCATTATAATGTATTCCTATTTATAAGGGCCAACATCTATAATTATGATACAATTGGAAAAACTTGCAAAAATGCTCACCTTTTTATTTGCCTTAATCTATATGTACGAATATCCTGTAGCGTCTTATTTTTCTTATAATCCTTTGAATTATAAATATTTATTTTTTTTCCCAAGAGAAAAAATCCAAAAAATTACTTGGTATATGCAACGTATTGAAAGTGTGAATGGCTAGCTACATTTATTATATGTTACCCAAAAACTAACTAGGCAGGCAAGCATATAAACATGAAATATTTTATTTAATTATTCCTTTTTCTTATCAAATTAAAAAAAATATTTATCTTTTCGGAAAACAAATATTTATAACTTAGAAATATTATAAAACCATTAAAAATTATAGATGCTCAAAATTTCATCTCAACACAATATTTTTACTTGTTTGGTATATTTTTTATCAAAAAATTACATTTTATCTGAAATAAAATAATATTCAAGCACACAAGCATACATATATATGTATTTAGGTGTATATTACATACATTTATATACACCTATGACACTGTTGTTGCACTAAACAAAATGGCACAAACCGGCCAAGGTAAAGAATTAATATAACATAAAAAATCACTATTTCAAATTGAAATATGTATGTATGTATGCTGTGGGTATATATTACTTATAACACATTAAATGTGTTGTACTTCTTATATATTTGTATATTTTTGTAATATTTATTAAATTTTTATCTTTTGCACTTTTAAAAAAAAACTTATTTTCCAAATTTGTAATTTTTACTAATTTATTTTTGGAAATTCATATAAATTTTTTATTAAAAAAAATTAGATTTTCACTTTACAACTGCATTCATTTTTTTCATGCTTTACAAAAGGCCTTCTTTTATTACCAATTTTTCTTTTTTACATTCATCTTTTTAATCGTGTACTCCCCATACATACGTACGAAAAAATTTAAATATTATTTATAAAAAAAATAAATATCAATAAGGGTTTCCGACACCGAAATATTATTGAATAACGCAAATATTAATAATTATTTTTTTATTATTTTCCTTAAGTTGTTATAAAAACTTTAAAACTGAAAAACAACAATTTTTATTTTAACTGCAGCACTACTGTTTTGCCTTTTTTTAAACATTAAACGAATTCCTCGAATGAAAAAAGACAACTATTATTATTATATGGGATCTACGACAACAACATATAGAAATAGAAACAAGAAAGAAAAAGAAACTACACTAAATATGTCAGACAGAGAAAATTAATAATTGACAATTTCTGAAGATTAATTCACAATGAGAAAAAATTGTTGACAATTTAAGTGTCAGTTGTCAATTAAAAATAACGAATTAGATATATTCATAATGCAAACGAATTAGAAATATTAAACGAAACAGTAGGTCGAAAAATAAAACCTTCTGACACAACCAAGAAAACATATGTTTACAAAACTTAAAAAATTTTTAAAATCGAGAAAATGAGAATGTCATCATTTTCTCTCATTTTTTTTTGCTTTGCATGCAAAAGCTTTCTCATATCAGACAGACCTATAATAAGCCCATAAATTGAGTTTTGTGCTTATTTTTAAGTATGAAGTCATTATTATTGTTGTTTTGTAGTTTTATATTTTTGAAGCATTCTAGCAGGTTTTCTGTTCTAAAAATTTACATGTATATAGAGAATTTTGAGATACATTTTAGCGGCTTTCTATTTCTAGTTAGTAATGCTTGCACTTTCTAAAAATCATTTATAAATATATTAGTGATTAGTGAAGCCAAGAACTTAAGGCAACACTTTTCTTCATGCCCGAGATTTGTCAATTTAAAATTATTAGTTCAATCAACGAATTAGAAATACTAAAGGAAGGAGTATCTCTGTTTCTACCTCGCTTACATTGTCTAAAAAATCGTTTATTGAAAACAAACATAGTGAACAAAAACTTCAGGTAAATCTTTTTTTTTGCTCCGAAAATTGTCATACTGAAGTTAACCTTAATTGCCAAATGTTGTTGTTTCTTTAATAGAAGATTACGCGTGTTACCAAGAATATTTTTTATTTTATTTATAAAATTAGTGCAGTTTGTAAACAAAAAATCATAAAATATTTAATAATAAGTGTTGAAAAAAGAATATTATTTTATAAAAACTTATATTGAAAACTTATATTAATTGTTGAAAAAGAAAAAGGTGTGTAGTTCTAAATTGTTCAACCCGTTTGCAAAAACAAATAGTTTTTTTACACCACATGCATGTAAATATTATTCATTTCAATAATTAAAAGAAATATTTACTCAATTACTGAATAAGGTAGAATACATTATATTAATTAAAATCATATTAAATACCATCATATTAATTAAAATTTGTTAAAATTTATACTGTTTTAAAGTCATTAAAATTTATATGTATTTATATTTATTGTTATTGTCTAGAGTTGTTCAATAAAATTGTCAAACGAAAATATGTTCATTTTCGAGGTTCATAAAATATTGTGATATTAATATTTTTTTAATTTTTACTTTAAATAAAAGTTTTAACTTATCCTTCTTAAAAATTACACATATTTTATAGTAGAAGCCAGACAAAAAAATAAAATAAATACGCCACTTTTACGACTTTGACAATGCTCGGAGCAAGGAAAGAAACAACTAAAAAAAAATTGGCTTCATGTTTTTTCAATATGCTCCTTTCTTTAGTTTTTCTAATTCCTTGAATCTGGATGGCTTTTAAAGCTATACCAAATAAAATGAGAATCATATAAAATACTCAAAAATTTCGCAAGAAAAATAAGAAAATATTTCAATCGGCATAATTCGAAACACATTGAGAATTGTTTTGTAATTTTTTTCTGAATCAAAATTTCGGAAAATAATTTCAGCTTGAACTAATCAATGTTTCCCAGTTCCCACTATTCGATGGTGTAAAGTAAAACACATTAAGTAACATTTTCGATTTATTGAGAAAAACGCGTTCTACTGATTTTGAAGCTTAAAAACTCGGAAAATATATATGTACATTTAGCTATCCATATATGAATATAAGATGAATAAAATGAAATTAAAGTATTTTTACTTGAATTAGCTTGTAAATAACTAATAATTATACTGAAAGATGAAACAAACTTTTGAGAAATTAATTTTTGTACTTAGTAAATTCTAGTTTCAAATTCCTTAATTTATGTGGGACTTTTTTTCATTTAATTAAATGAAGAATAATTAAATATATGTATATTATGTATTAAATATTATTATTACATATTACATTCATATATATTTGGATAATATTTATTTTAATAATAAAACAAATTATTTGTGCCTATATAATAGTTATAATTATATATAAGCACATACATACATATGTGTATATGTTTAAATTTTAATTCATCATCTGCAATTTTATCAAGTTTTTAATTTATGAAAGGAAATATTTTTGCACCGTTTCAAAGAATTGTTAACAATTGCAAATAAATGACATACATAATAACCACCAGAACCGGCTTTTTTAAGAAAAATTATATACAAAAAAATAAAAAAAATATATACAGAGTGATTCAGCATAAAAAATGTAAAATTTTTGAATGGAGAAGAAACCAACATATGCCGCTTTATCGTGGTGCAAGTTGATTTGCATTAGTCCCTTTCGCTAACCGCCTGCAAAGTCTTTTCTGCATCATCATAAAGGTTTAGCTTCAATAGGATTAACTTCAGATATATAACGTCGTGTGTCAGATCCACTCCTTTCGGTTTTTTTTGGTTCTAATAAAAGTCTGAGAATACGAATCTACCGATACTGCCTTGCTTGTGTTTACATCTGACGATTCTCTTTTTCTAACTCACTCGTTATCGTTCTCTTACTTCTAGTTTCCCTACATCTTTGGGCCCATTTTATACACCTTCAGGATTATAGAGGAGGCCCCACAAAGGCTCTATTCTAGCACGTTATTTGTTTGAAATTAGCAGGGCCTGTTTTTAGTCGACCCTTTTGTTTTCTGTTTTTGCATACTCTATCTGGCGATTGTCAAGTTTTACTTAGCTGAATTTTATTTATCATATAAGATGGCTCAGATGAAATCAAAGTACAAGCTCGCTGTTTGGTTGGGGTCTTAACCTTCCTTGCTTTCGCATTTCTAAATAGGTTCAGTTACCTATTATCCGCTTAGACCACAAGTTTACCGAATCCTTGGTTGTATTAGTGGTATAGATCTGGCTTTTTCTTCATAAATTGGGAAAAATTAGCCTTTCTACTTTCTACCGAATCTGTGCTGGAATGCTGGCATCATCTTGAGTCTGCGGACTTCATTTAATGACTTCGTAAAATGCAGGTTTAAAGGCAAGTTCATTTTTCGCCCAAGTTGGTTCCCCTTCTCACTTAGACGCTTGTTCACAATACTCTTTCTTCAGCTGTATGTGGACCTTTTCATTCGACTTGGGTCTTACATTTGCGTATTCGGAAAAATGATAAGGTAGTACATACTAAACAATGTGTATGGTGCTAACTTTTCATTTCTACGAATACAAAAATCGAATTACATAGTAAAGTCCCAATTCATTTTTGGAATCCGGCACATCCCTTCTGATTTTCTTAGATATAAATTAGTTTCTAGTAAAGATCTGTTTGTGCATAAAATTTCAGCTTTGTATCTCAAGGGTGTAGAAGTTTTGTAAACAGACAGAGTGAAACCAATAAGCACTTTTGGTGAATTAATTTTGAAAAAATTTTAATAAGCTTATTTATTGTTATTATCATTTTATTGCGTCAAAATTTTTCTTTTTTGGAACTAATTTTTTTTTTAATTTTATTTTTAAAAAAAAATGCTATATTTGATTTATTATTTTTTTAAAATGTTTATACATAGTTTTATAAAATTGAAATTTGTTCTTCCTCTTGTTTTAGTTCTATCGTTGAGTTTGAAATAAAGGTAACTTAACATTGTGCTTAAAAAGAGTTTTAAAATTTATCACGATAATTTATTATAAAATTGTAAAAACATTTAATGAAAGAGGAGTTCCAATACAAAATAATAAATTGTTTTCGATGTTGTTGCAATATAGAATGTAAAAAGTGCTTATAATATGCCCACTTTTCCCTCCTTTTCTTTCCTCATTTGTTAGTTTAAAAACATTCTATTTCATAAATATATAATTTTAGTTCAGAACTCGGAATTGCTTATACAGATAATTTCTGAGATGTAAATATATGCAATTAATATTCCTATAATGCGTTCCACATTGTTTGGAATTAAGAATTTTTGAGGAATACTTACATACATATGTACATATGTACATACATTACAAAAAAGTTATATGTAACTAATATGAACACAAACAAGTCTTTATTTTCACATCCTTATAATTTAAAGTGCAACCGAAGTCCGACTTATCACTCTAAAAAGTGAATTAAAATAACCACTAACTTCTGGTTCCTCTGATTCTAAAGAAATTTCTGTGTTGTTAGTTGTAATAGCATTTCCAAAATATTTCATATGCCTGATGTCCAAAACCTTCAATTAATATATTTCAAATTTATATTATGTAGTACTTATATTTATATTATCTATAATTACATTTATGTATGCATATAACATTTATTTTTAACTCACCGGTTCCTTATAAAATCCAGATCCTGGTTGCAAAATTGTTAGAGAAGTATCAAACCACATAAATTGCTTGTCATAACCTTTATATCTTAAGTCAATGTGCTTAAAACCAAGAAAATCTTCCATTATCTCATCATCGATATACAAAGTGAAAATTCCATCATTCAGTATATATTTAATTGTATGCCAATCGTTATTAAAAATCTAAAGTTTAAATTTTTGACTAAATAAATATGTACAATTCCTATTAAATTACCTGATCTGCCCAAAATTCAGTATAGGAGCGAATAAATTCACCATTGTTATTTATTCCACTTTGCAATTTCAACATTTTATTTTTACCATTTACAGTTAAAGAAAGGAAAGATTCGGCACCAGATGTTAAAGTTATCAAATAGTATGAGAAATTTGAATGTGGAAATTCCTTTATACGATATGTCATTTCAAATAAATGATCTTTATCAAGACCATCTTCAAAGAATTCTGATACATCACGTGACGCACTTTCACTTATTTCATAATACACCCCCGGAGTATCATATTTCGTTAGATTGTCTTCAAAAAAGCTAAGAGGATAAAATGTTCCTAGTAAAAATTTTAAATTAAAAAAGGCTTTCATAACCCTTTACTTCGAAGAAATATACCTGATGTGTAATCATCATTAATCCTTATCTGAGGATACGTTAAATTAAAAATATTTTTACAAAGCGATCTGTCATCAAAAGAGGATCCTAAATGCGGTAAAGCGAGAAATTTCAACGGTTGATTATATTCGATCTGAAACAATTATGCAAAATATTTATTTACCATGTTATTGATGAAAAGCCATTTTATTTCAAAATTTAAACTTAAGTTACTTAATTTAAAGTCTATAAGTTGCAAAGTTAAAACTTAACACCAGGTATTGATCGAATGAAGTTAATCAACCTTCACGAGCTTGTCCATTAGTTAATGTTTTAATGTTTTTCAAGGATTTGTTAACTAAGAAATATCTAAAATAACGGAATATTGTATAAATGCGTTAAAACTGCAGAATACAATATTATAAATTAGCAATTTAGGTATCAACACTTTCGCCAGTCTCGCAACATTTACATACAATATACATACATACAAATTATGTACATATGTTTTAACAGCTTTTTCAGTCTCCACGCACGATATTTTCAAATTAAAACGAGAAAAAAATAGAGTTGACTTTGTCAACTCTGTGATACCCGTACGAATTTGTTATCCCGTGTGCGAATAAAAATGCCATAACTGACTATGGGACAGACTATGACTTTAAGTTGGACAGACTTTCAGTACTGTGTTCTTCAAAATACTGTGTGAGCCAAACTACTATTGAAGTTGTATGGCAGCTACCAGAAAGAGCCAAGAAATTTTAACGAATTTTATCAAACACAGCGGCCCTAATATTATATTCGCTTATGTGAAATTTCAATACCATAGCTTTTATAGTTTCTGAGATATAGCCAAATAACTTTTGAAGTTGTATGGCAGGAACTAGAAGAAACCGAGCAATTTCAACGACTTTTATCAAACACATCGGCCCTACTTATATATTTTTTGTGTGAAATTTCAATACCACAGCTTTTACAGTTTCTGAGATATAGCCAAATAAATTTTGAAGTTGTATGGCAGCTACCCGAACCAGTACCCCGATCATGTCCAATTTAAATAGGGTTCTGGCACTTACTACAATAAATCATTTGTGAAAATTTGGTGAAGTTAGCTCAATTAGTTTTTGAGTTATCGCTGGGACGGACGGATGGACGGGCAGACAAAGCTAAATCAACTCAGAATTCGCCGCTGATCAAAAACATACACTTGAGTCTATATCCAACACCGTTATTTCTTAGCGTTACAAACGGTAAGGCAAATTTAGTTATACCCTTCGAACTAAAGAACAATTCAAAAAAAAATTATAAGAATTTACTATAACACACTTACATCATCATTATCACCAGTTCTTAAAGAATTTAATTTTCCGAAAGAACGGATTACATCTTCATCTAAATCAATAGAAGTTTTTAAATATCCATTTATATTTCGTCTAAGTTCGCAATCAATCCAAATCTTAAAAAACTGTTTCCCGAAACGGTAAACCATAAAATGCCAATTTTCAACTTCGAGCTTTTTAAAAGAAAAAATTCCGTTGTTTAGAAAATCATACAATTATTTTATAAAAAAAATAAAATTTCATATTCCTTACATTCACATCATGATACTTTGCTTCCCACAAAGTTGTTATGTTTTTAACAAGAACATTTACGCGAACAATCACTTTATGTTCATTTTTCTGATATATCACAGACAATTTATTTTCATTATAAGACATCAAAGCAAATAATTCTACTTCATTGTGTTGGGAGTTTTTAAGACGAAAACCGACCCTGCCGGAATGGGGGACAAATCCGTTTTTGAAGTACTTTTTAACATTGTGCTGGTTTTTATGGAGCTCGTCCTGCGATAGTACGTAATCATAACCTAAGAAAGAAAAACATAATTTCTCAAATTTAATAGAGAATTAAAAAATAAAATAGTAATTCTATACCCCAGGCTCTAATGTTTACTATTAAACAAAAAATCAAAACTAAAAATAACCTAATTAAAATACGAAACAACATCTTTATATTAACTTTATTTATATTACACTAAACAGCAAAATGAAATTTTTTGAATAATAATTTCTGCCGTCCTATTAAATACATATAGGGCTTCAAAAATTATTCCTAAAAATAGTAAATGCACATATATACGTACATAAATAATACAATTAACTATATTGATAATGAGCTTGAACTCTGTATAAATCTCTTATCGCCAATTTTAAAAAGTTCTATTTCAAAGTAAAATATTCTTCTAAATATGAGATAATTCTAATTAATTAAGCAATACAAAATCGTTTGAAATTATTTAATTTACAAAAAAAGTATAATATGTATGTATGTACGTACATGTAATAGTTATAGCTTTGGTTATTGATATTTATGCATATTTGTGCAATTCAAGTTGAGTAAGTCTGTTACGCAGTCTCGCAACTGTATATTATGCTATGCATATTATGACTATGATATACAGTCTATGACTAAGATATACAGTTAAATAACTATTGAACTTAGGTTCCTAATATTTAAGATACCTAACCCCGAATCACCTTCAAACCATGAATCAACTTAAAAAAAACACGGGGTTAGGTATCTTAAATATTAGGTCTTGAAAAACTCCACAAAAAGAGTTTCAAACAACTCTACAACTTTTTCACTAATATATCTGGTCTTCAATTTTTGCACGGACAAAAGTGAACTTTTTTACTTGTGTATTTTGAAATAAATATTAATTAAAGGTTTCAACTTTTTAAAAACCTATATTCTACGTGTATTGAATCAAAAAATCACATTCTAAAAATTTAAGTTTCAAAATTTTCCAGGTAAAGATTTACTAGTATTTGAAGAATTAAGGATCGCAATTTTGTGTGATTTCAGTATTATTTTAACAAGTTCAAAATTCAGTTTTTTAAAAATTTGAGGTTATCGTTACAAAAACCTCAGTTATTTTGAAGCATTCCTAAATTCTTATTTATATTTATTTTTTGTTTGCTTTTTATAATATTGCTGTCTTTCGAGATTCTTGTGTTATAATATCGCCTATTATGTATTCAATAGAATTTTAAACATTTAGATTAAGTAATTGATAAACTACTACTATACTGAATTGATCTCACATATGTATAGACTAAAAAACTCAGCATGTTCATTTTTCATAATATGTTCATAATATGTTCATTTTTTGCAATTTTGTCGTTTTCATTCATTTTACAAAAATATATTTCGTTAAAATTTTTTAATGAGAATCAACTTACCAAATCAGTTGATGTGAATTTGAGTAGCGAACCGTTTACAGTAGCCAACACTAAAAGTAGTTAATAAACGGGTTGTTGAATTCTCCAGGCAGCGGATAACTGAGTAGAATCGATATCAAACTGCTAATAAAACATCGATGTCAATTTCTGAAATTTGGTTTAAAGGGGTAAAAATTTAGATCTCCATACTCTTGCAAGTTAATGAAAAAAAACAATTTTTTAACTATATTTTCTTATCATATTATAGCATTAGTTTATTAGTATTTACATTGTATTTACAGAAATATCAAATGGAAGAGAATGTCCGACTTAATACTTTAAAAAATGATTCGAAGTATCCTGTTTTTTCGCTTTCTACAGCATTTAAAGATATCTCAGTGTTATTTGTTGTTATAGCATTTCCAGAATATTTCATATTCCTAATATGTAAAATCTTAATAAAGAGGTCATTTTTATATATTAATCAAGTCAAGTAATTTAAAAATATTTAAAATATACCGGTTCTTCGTGCAGTCCTGATCTGGGTTCTAAAATCATTAAAGCGGTATCATACCAAAGATATTGATTATCATATTTTTGACGCTTTAAATCAACTTCCTTGTAACCAAGAAAATCTTCCATTATTTCATTATCTATCCATAAAGTAAATATTCCACTTTTTATAGTATATTTTATTTTATGCCAATCATTATTGTAAATCTGTACATAAAAAATTTTTTTTTTAAATATGGAAATATATAACATTTACATATACATATGTATATTATAAATAAACATGTTTATACTTTATCCGCCCAATATTCTGTGGAGTAATTAATTAGTTCATCATTGGAATTAATGTTGCCATTTATTCTCAATATTTTACGTTTGCCGTGTAATGCAATAGAAAGTTCAGATTCAGCTCCAGATCTCAACAAAATAAAGTAATATGAATAATTTGACTGAGGAAATTGTTTTATTCGATATGTCATTTCGAATGAATGATCTTTATCAAGACCATCTTCAAAAAATTCTGAAACGTCACGTATTGTGCTTTTACTTAATTCATAATATACATCGGGGTAGTTGAACTTTTTAAGAGCATCTTGAAATTCGTTCAGTGGATAAAATGATCCTGCGTTTTAAAAAAAGTGCAATTATAAATTAAACATTTTAATTGTAGATATACGTACATATACGTATAATAATAGGTCTATCTGGGATAAAACTTGCAAAAACTTTAAAAACAGAAACAATGATGAAATTTCTCTCAAAAAGAAAAAAAATTCTCATTTAAAGGAAAAATAAACCAGACGGAAAACTTGTAAAAACTTTTAAAAACTCTATAAATATGCGATAAACGTCAAATTTCAAAGTATTTATCAAACGTAAACAAATTTTTTTTTGTTATACCAAAAACCAAAAACTTTGATTTTGGACTATTAAGAGTGTGAAACTCAAAAAAAAACATTTGCGAACCTGTTTTGGTTATTTTATTTTTAATTGAAAAGTTTTGAAAAAAAAGTTATTGTTAATGAAAAAATTTTTTTTCAAAAATAACACCTTCTGATATAACTAAAAATTCATATGTTTCGACAGTTGTAAGATTTAAAAAGTTTTTAAAACACTAAATTTTACTTTACAAAACTTGAAAAAATTTTAAACATTGAGAAAATGAGAATGTCATCATTTTCTCTAATTTTTGTTCAAAAAGTTGTCACCCCAGGCAGTTTGCATGCAAAAGCTTTATAAAAATTTTAAATGTTTTTAAAAACTTTCCTATCCCAAACAGACCTAATGTATACTTATATGAACATATGTATATACATATATATTCTATTATTATAATATATACCGTCAGTTTTATTATCATTAATCTTAATTTGAGAATACTTTTTATTAGTAATGTATTCACAAGCACTTCTATCTTCAAAAGAATAACCCAGATTTGGTTGTTTTACAAATTTTATTTGTTGATTATATTCAATCTAAAAAAGTTAAAAGATATAAAACAAAATATTTAAATAATTTAAAATGTTCATAAAGATTTAACTATATTATTAATTAACAGTTAGATGTAAGTACATCAAATGTATCGTTTTGATTTATGTACATACATACATATATATTTAATAATATTATAAATTGCCTATTTATTTACTATACATACATAAGTATTTATGTAGGTTAATGAATCTACGCTCTTCTTTAAAAATTGAGATACGCATTTTTAAAAATTAAGTGTAATTAAATTTTCAAAGAAGATCAACAAAATTCTAGATTCAACTATCGGTCTCAGAAAGTTAAAAATCTGTACTATGTGAATCAACAAAATTTTTAAGTACAATTGAAATGTCATTACTTATTCAAATTTTACTTATTTAATAACCTTACAATTATTACTTATTTAAAACTTTTTAAAATATAGGTACGAAGGAAACATATTTAAGGTATGTATGTATGTATTTTCGAAAATCTAATCATATATAGACTTAACTATCTACGGATTTTAGGAAAATCCTAATTTGTTATTTAATTATTATACCTACTAAATCAAATTTTCTCGTTTTAAATGTATATAAAAAAAAGTAATTCTTGAAACTTACATCACTAACATCACCATGTTTTAGTAATATATTTTTTCCAAAATTTGAATATACTTCTTCTTCGTAAAAATTCATAAATGTTTTCAAATCGCTATTGGTACTTCTCTTCAATTCACAATTGACCCAAAGTTTAAAATATTCTTTACCCAAACGATAAACCAAATAATGAAAAACTCCAATTTCAAACTAGTAAAAGTATTAAAGTATAATAAATTAAGAAACTGTATAGAAGGTAAAACTTATTACATATATTTCAGGATACTGTATTTGCCATACTCTTGTTTTATGCTCGATATCCATATTCATGTGAAATATTAATTTATGTTCGCTCTTTTTATATTTAATAGAAAGTTTACTATTTTTTGTTGTTAAAAAAAATATATTAACTTCATTGTTTTCAGAGTTTCTAAGTCGAAATCCTACTTTCGCGGTATGTGGTTCCAGTCCTTTTTCAAAAAACACTTGAGTTGAATTTTGATTACTTTCGAGCTCATCTGGTGTTATAACTTTGTTGTAACCTACAATTTATTTAAAATTAAAATTTGGAAAATTTTGTTGAACACATAATATATCATAAAATTTTTGTACCCCAAGCTTTAACAAATAAAGCGAAATGTAATATTAATAATGATATTCTTAAAATATGAAAATTCATTTTATAACGTTATAATTAATATTGTAATTAATACATTAACTTAAAAAAACATAATTTTATAAAATTCGGTTTTGTGCTACAAAATATATGTATGTATAACCAATCCTTTAAAGAACATTAGCATTTGAAATTCATAAAAAGACTAAACTAACATAAAATTGATAACAGTGCTTTAGTTCCCTGTTATGATGAACTATGACTAAATTTATCAAAATCACTAATAGTATTCCAACAAACTTTGTACATAGAGTGTGTATACATATGTATATGTATTTGTAATAAATATGATTTATATTACTTGCTTATTTTATACATTACCAGTATAGACTCTAGGAAAATCTGGATGTATAACAATGTAGGCGTTCAAATATAGGAGTCGGTCAAATATATCAGGCGGTGAAATCTGTATATCAAAATGCTAGATCCAAAACTGATACAATGAAGGATTTTTAAAATTTCTTAAAAAATGCAAAATTTTGGGGATCCCCAGTATTTTTTAGGTGAGTGATCTATATTTTATGACAATATATGTACATAGTTAGTTCTTGTACCGGGCTTTGCTTTTACTAGAATTGGTCCTGTTGCTATATGTTTATATACCAAAAAAAAAACATATTTGTGGTGAGAATTTATGGGTACGAGTATATGTAGTTGCATATGTATGTAATGTATTAAAAGTATTCCTAAAATCCTAATCAGTGGTTATTATAATCATAATTATATTGTTAAAATGTAAAGTATACGAGTACATATTGTGAGTACAAGTAATATATGTACATATTGTAATAACAATATTATGGTGGACATGCAATGTGAAATTATACTTATTATAAGATTATGTTGTTTATTATTTACTTACACATAATTGACTAATTTTAAAATTAATGTGACTTTGTTGATTTTAAGAAGTTTGAAATACAGGAAGTAAATTTCGAATAAGAATAATTTTATTTCAGTTTTTATAGGTAATAAATTGTGTAGAAAAAGTAAAATATTTTAGTGTGATTTTGATCCATATCCAATTTTTTAAATTTTAAATATTCAATTTATATGACGTGGATCCAAAATTTAATGCATGTATGTAGATCAAAATAACACAAATTTAGAAAAAATATTTATTCTCTTTGCCTCATTACATCTCATACACTTGCATCACAAAAACGATTCTATGATTAAAATATGGCATTTTTCAGGCGATAAAAAAGACTATTTTAAGGAAAACTAAACAGAAGAATTGCTTGGGTAAGCATCAACTATTATTGAAACTAACATCGCGCGAAAGAGCAAAAATAATTATCATTTATACGCACAAAATGAGGCCAATATAATAGAAAAATAAACACTGTAACTTGTCAACATAATTGCTCCAGATTGAAAACGAAATATTGGAAATATAGGTAATTTAAATTAAACGAGAAAATAAAAAAAGATAAAATTAAAAAAAAATTTTGAAAATTATTTTTTTTTTTCAAATTATAAGTGTTAGTCGAAAAAGTAGAAAAATTTTTTAGCACTTAAACAATAAATCTAATTAACAGGTTTGAAGAGTTTCATATAGAAAAAGTCTGATGTGAACAGCATATGACCGCATTGTTGCAGCATATGTATTTTAAATTCTATTAAAAATGAAAATAGGCTTTAGTTAATGTACCTGTAGAAAAAAATGTAAATTTTTGCTGTTAGCTGACTCATTTTCCATGATCAGATTTTCCTGCAAGGTTTTCCAGTTAATTACCAGAAAATAACTACCAGAACTGTCAGGACTCAAATATAAAATTTCAAGAAATTGCGTCAATTAGCTCCTTAATATATAAAATATGATTAAACATATAAAATCGACCCTTGCTGAAGGTTCTGTTTCCGAACCCAGAAAAATTCCTAAAAAAAAAACCGGTTCATTGTTTTAATAACCAGGTTTTAAATATGAAATTTTCAATAAATTTGCTGCTAACATTTTATTCCTTCAATAAGCAAGCTGACTTGTCGTATTGTCAGGAGAATACGCTGATTATTTTAATTATAGTCAAAATCGTAAAATCGTCCCGGAATAAAGATCCAGTTCCAGGGAACTGATATACCACAAAAGTTTATCAAGCCCTTCCATCCTTAAAGTAAACTCATATATAAATTTCCGTTAAAATTGGTTCAGTTGCACTTAAGAAACTGGTCTACACATAAAGTTACAGACAACTTTCAAAAAACAGTTTATTTACGTTTCCCTACTACAAAGAGGTGCATTTCCGCCGCAAACCCCTTGTGTGAAATTTGATGTCAGAACATTACCTCCCATATTTTATGCAATGCGGTAGTTAGTAAAAAAATAAATAAAAAAAATTAATAAAATAATAAATAAAAAAAATAATTAATAAATAAACACTTTCATATATTTTATAATGCATTTAAACATTTTTTATTTAAATAACTTGGGTTTATATACTTTACAATCAAACAATCAATTTGTATTTCGCCTTTCTCAAGTGGTATCTCAGAAGCTCTATTAAAACATTATTTGTATATTAAAAGACGGGAAAAAGTTCCTTATACAACCAAATTTCAGCCACGATAAGTCTCTAAGACAAACCTATGTTAGCAGATGTCTTAAAAGCGAAATTTTCTTGGTTATTGGAAGCAGCCATATATGTTTTAAAACCAACCACTTTAAAATACCTTTTAAAATATTTAAATTAGCAAAGTACATTAAATGCAAATATATATAAATAAATATAGAAAAAAGCTTCTTTTATGTAAATATTATTTCTTTGATTTAAATATGAATTTTTATAGTTATTCTTATAATTAAAAGTTAAATATAAAATTTAAAATGTGATCTTATAAAACGCAACAAATTTCTTCATTCGACTTTTTCTGCAAAGCTTAATTTTGGAAAAGCGTTCTTGTAAAATCAATATAATCCAGTGCGTCTCTTATTGGATGACCCGTTTTAGGGTCGTTATATGGTTTCATTCGTTGAACACAGTAATCTGCCATTTCTCTTGTAAGATTCTGAAATAAAGAAATAGTATTGCATTTGTTAATTAAAAAATTATTACAAAAGTTCAATGAAACTCTTTCGTTGTTTTTTAAATACTTACACTATAGAGCTCTTCTTTAGTTACGTATGGCCTATCTGAAGCCGTAATAGCTCGGAAGGCATTTTCGATTTCTTCATAACTTTGAACATTTTCGGTTTCTTTCGATATCATGAATGCGATATATTCTTGTAGTGATACGTATCCATCTCGCGTATTGTCAACTATATCTAATATAGCCTCAAACTCAGGGTCTGGTTGTCCTTCTTCTACCATAGGTAAGTCGTAACCAAGAGCTCGTAAGCACGATTTGAATTCTTGGTGATTTAATTTGCCACTCTTGTCTTTGTCAAAGTGTTTAAACATCATCGAGAATTCTTTTAGGGAATCTTCTGATACACCGGAATGATTTCTAGCTTGGATCTGTTGTTCTAAGTTGTGTTGCATTCTCATTGATAATTGATCTAATTGATCCCATTGTTGAGCTAAACCCACTGTTGAATGTTCCGTGTACCGATTATCCAAAATGAGATGCTCTTCAAGAAGAGCACCCAATTCTTCAATTTTCTTTAAATCCCCACGACGTGCGCGAACTTCTGTTGCTTTGATTCGAAGTGCTTCAAGTTGTTGTTCTAATGAACCTGAACCTTCCATCATTGAAGTTCTTTGGTAAAAATACAAGGAAAAAGAAAGTTTAGTAAAGGTTCAACATAAAGGTTTATTAGTACAAGTTTGCATTGCAACATTATTGGCATGGTTCGTTAGTATTAATAATTGTATTTGTGTCATTTTGAGTTTAAAAATAATCTGTCTTTTAATTTTACACAGCTTTTTTAAAACTAGAGTTTAACATACTTTTCAAATCTTGCAGAATGTAATATTAAACGATTTAATTTACATCATACATTTGCAGTTTGTAGTAAAATGTTACATTTTTATTTTTCTAAACTAAAGAGATTTAAAAAAAACAAGTTTGAAGAATAATTTTTCTAAAGTAAATAATTTTTAGCAGTTTAGTAATTGCACATTTTTTTTTCTTTGCACACATTTTCAACAAGAACGTAAAAGCAGTTACAGAATGAAATATTAGGCACTTAATCAATTTAAAATCGCATTTTTTGTTATGAAACCAATAACTGGTTCTGTTAACACTTAAATTTACAAAGTCAAGTTATTAAAATTTGGTATTTCACATAGTCTTATACATATTAAGTAAAAGCATTGCTCTAAGACTTTAATTATTTTTATTATTAAAGCATTTATTCGGAAATTCGGAAAGTGTACAAAATATTTTAAAGAAAATTGCAGGATTGTATATCTTAGAACTTAGAAAGCGTAAAGTAGTAAGAAATTTCCGTTTTTGGCAAAGCGATATTGTTTTTGTTTGAAATTTAAATTTATGATCGAACGTTGTGGAAAACTCAAAGTTTTTAACAACACGCGTCAAACATAAATGTTAATTTTTGAAAAAAAAAATTGAAACTAATAAAATTTAACTATTTATTATTTAAGCGAGCATTTATTTATTTTTACCCATATTTATTATAACCGAGCATGTAAAACCTAATGAAATAAGACATTTAAAAATTAGATTTGAAAAATTTTCAATATTTAACATTTTAAAAGAATTTAAATTACCTTGTTTCTGTCAACCATTGATGGAATAGATTAGCATGTTTAGCGAATTCTTTACGTAATTTATCATTTTCTTCCTGTCGTTGAGCTTCTTTTGCCAGCTCACCGTCGCGTTCTTCAATAATTTTCTGCAAATTTCTCCAAGTTTCCTCTAAAGCCTCCATTGTAAACCAAGTGTATGGGTTTGGACCAACATTAAAACTTTTAATTTTCTGATCAAGGGCCGCTAAAGCCTTAAAATCGGCTTCCGCCGATGATAGAGAAGCTTGAAACTGGGCATGTGCCTCACGTAGTGCACGTATTTCTTCAATAGAATTGCATCGTACTGGATCAGTTAAATCTTCTTCAGCATTTTCAAACCATGAATTGAAAGCAGAAGCCTTTTTAGCAAATGTTAAATATAATTCTTCAATTTGCCGGAATTGATCTTGCATTGCTAATAAACGATTTTTACGTGCATCGGAAGCAGCACGTAACTTTTGCCATCGGGTTAAAACATCTTCATGCCGTTTCAATATTGCGGGTGATTGTGCATGATTAGCGTTTATTAATTGATCTTTAAGTGCTGTTATATTATGAATACCCTCTTGTTCAAAACCAGCAAGACCTGTAAAATCCAAAGTTAAGGTATAAATAGATTTTTAATTAATAAAAGTTTCCCTTACTGGCATCAAATGTCTCTTGTTTTGTTAACAACGTTTGAACAGTTGACAAGTCCCTGCCATATTCTTCAGATCTTACATAATTTTCTTTTTCAGCAATCCAACTTTCGACCACATCAGCTTTCCACATGAATTGCAAATAAGCTGAATTGTCTAATAATGCACCCTTTCTTCGTGCTGCTAAAGCATTAAGATTTTCTAATTTATTTCTCAATTGCTGACACCGTTGTGCAATCGAATCACCATGATGGTTCTTTGCTTCAACTAATTGAGAACCTTGATCACATATTAATGAACAACGATCACGATGGGCTGCAAAATCGGTTTCAAATGCGTCATGTTTTTTAAGCAAGCCTTGGACTGCAGCCATAGAATCACCATAATCATCGACAGACAATAATTGTTGTTTTTCAGTTATCCAAGCTTCTTCTTCCTCAACTTGAGCCAAAAATTGTTGGTATGTCAAAGATTCATCCAGCTTCTGTCCACGAGTAGCTGCTAAATTCTTCAATTCAGCCCAGGATTGATTAAGCGCCTTAAGTCGCTGCTCAATTTCTGGCACACCTAAATTAGAAACATCCATTAATTTCTCTCCAGCTTCTTGAACTGCTTGTATAGCTGGTTCATGAGAACCTAACTCAGCTTCTAAACGCTTATGCTTTTTCTTCAAATTTTGGACACCAGTCAAGTCTCTTCCGTAATCATCGGATCCAACTAAAAGTTTCTTTTCTTTAATCCAACTTTCTTCATCAGCAATATCGCGGAAGAATTGATGCAAGGTTAATGCTTCATTCAAACGAGCTTGACGATGTGCAGCCAAATTGCAAACACGTTGATAACGTTCATTTATTGACTGTCTCTTCTCCTGAATACCAGCGCTGTCAAACTGACCACTATCTACTAAAGAATCAGCTTGATTATTCATATCTTTAATACGATCTTCATGAGCTTGAATATCTGCTTCAACCAACTGATGTTTTTTCATTAAATTTTGGACTGAAGCTAAATCTTTTCCTGAATCTTCTGTGGTTAAAAGGCTTTCAACTTCACCCAACCAAAAATCTAAATCTTTAACAGCAGCGATATATGTCCTTTGTTTATTAGCTTCTTTTAATTTCAAAGATTTTTCGGTAGTTTTTTGAGTTAAGTATTCCCACTGGTCAGCAATTTGTGTTAACCGTTTTTGCACTGCATCTTCAGAGCCACTACACTGCTTTTTATCAATTAAGTTACCACCCATAGCTAAAACACTTTGAATTCTATCAGCATTTGCTGCCAACTCAGCTTCGAATGCCTGATGTTTTTGATGTTTAGATTGAATATTGGCCGGATCCTTATAGCTTTCTTCCGTAGCCAGCTGTAATTTTTCAGCTATCCAATTTTCGATTTCGTCGGCATCCCTCGAAAATTGTTGTAAGGTTTGTTCATCTCCCAACCGTGATCGTTTTTCAATTAAACCTTCTTTCAAATGACGCCATCTATCAAGTACTTCTTTACGTTTGTCATCAATTAAGTTACTTGCATAGTGATTTTGCACAATCAGTGTATCAGCTAATACTTGCAAAGCAGCAATTTTTTCTTCATGACCATTAATGGCTTTATCAAAATCTTCATGTTTTTTAATAAGAGCTTCAACGTTATCGCCTTTTGAATCAACTTCATCGGCAGTAACGAATGCTTCTCTAGCCGACATCCAATTTTCAGCTTGTTCGCAATCACGCATGTAAAGCTGTAGGTCTAGATTTTGTTCTAATTGCAATCGCCGCTCGGTCCAAGCTTTTTCAAGTTCTTCACGTGCTTTGGCCAAATCATCAATTTTGTTTTTGATGTCATTTGACGCATAGTGGTTTGCCTGAAGTAACTCATTACCAAACTGTTCAAAAGCAGCAAAGGTACTAGCTCGAGCATCAATTTCAGTACGATGCTCCTACATTTATATAAATAAAATAAGAATTATTATTTTGGAAATTCAAATACATAATAAAGCGTTAATTTTTGCATCATTATGAAAATTATAACATTAAAAATAGTAAATATACAATGCTAAAAATGTTTAATATAATGCCGTTTTTTTTTTTTCTTTACTCTTTTAAATTATGACGGTGATGTAGCCCAATATGTATATGTTAAAATAGTCAATTTAATCTGTACGTTAATGGATGATGAATTGAAATGATGATTGTAGTAATTATAATTAATACGACATATAAGACAACAAAATAAATTTATATTTAAAGTAAATGAGGCAAAAAAAATGCAAAATTATAGCAACGAAAACTAAGTACTCGACAATATTTACTAAAAGTATTAACACATGGAATAACCATTTGCATTCGAGAAGTAACAATTTATGTATGTAAATCACTTCTGTTTCGAAATTACATATTTAAATAATAACTACAAAATTATAAGATATAAAAATTACAAAAAGTTGGTTCAGATGTAATTTAACATATTTTCGAAAAAGAAACTCATGTAAATACACTTACATAATGTATATAACATATATGTATGTGGATACATTAACATACATTATGTTTGTATACGAAAATGTTCATAAAACTGTTTTAAAATGAACTGTTCGACTTAAAAATTTCCTGAAACTCTCAGTAAAACTATTAATATTTATTAAAAATAAATTCATATCATGTTAATAATACTTTGACAACAAAAAGTGCTAATTGCAATAGTGCAAAATAATATAAATTATTTTTAAATGTTCGAATTTTTTTATTTATTTGATCAATATTATCGGGTAAGATCACTTATCAGGACGATCGCTTTTTTAAATTTAATTTTCCTCGATAAAATTTATTTCAATATCTGTAAGCGTATTGGATTAGACCAGTTATGCTTTATAATGTTATGATAAAATTTTTTTGAGGTATTAACATAGTGCTGTATAATGTGAAAACATAAATTTAGAAATTTTGAAAATGATGAAGAAAAGAAAAAGCAAATTGAAAAAAAAATTGCAAATAACATTAATCAAAAATCAATTAAAGCATTTTATTTTTTTACTTAGGTTTGTACTTATTATATTTGCACAATATTTCTCTTATATAGCTTTTAATATATTATACAGGTATGTAATATAAAAAAAATACATATAAAAATTATATTTTAGAAAATTAAATATCGAGATGACAAATTTTTTGTAGACTGCTAATCAAAATAACAATGTTACTGTTACTGAAAACAAATTATATTCATGACCGGTTTCTATGCGTTTTAATTTATAAGCAAACTATTAGGTAATTGTGTCTGAGTTGGCTATAACATGTATAACCTGATCACATCAAATTTAAATATACGTTACATACATAAAATTATAATATACGAAATATATGAATTTTTACTCAGATATAAAAATAAATATCATAAATACACAAATATAAAAACATTGCCTTTAAATTTAATACGTTTGCATGCAATATAATTAATTAGTTAAAATACCTAATTAAAATATTTTAATTGATGTTAAATAATTGTCATCTCTAAATTACTGTGTTTTATTAAAATTAAACATAGGGATTTTCGATAATTAAGGTATGCACTTAAAGTTCTAGCTTAAATCTTAAAAACCTTTTATTGCGTAATTACAGATGTTTAAGCACTAAATACGTGCATAATGTACTTTTTTAGATTTTTAATATCTTACATTTTTCTTTTTGATGTTTTCCAAACTATAAATGTCTTAGCATTTAAGAGAAATCTTTGAAAGTGCTTTAGAACATTAAGCATGCTACAATTTTCGAATGTGATTTATTTTGCATACTACATTTGAAGATTCTGTAGTTTTGATTTATCAAACATTTTTTATATTCGGATCTAAGTTAGAACTAAATTTTCGAAAACGTCCCATGTTTAATCTTAGATTATGAAAAAAATATGTAGATTTTGATCTGCATAATATACATAAAAGCTTAAATAAGGAAAAATATGGAAGAAATACACAACGACGACATAGTGGCATTTTAAAGGGTAAAAATCACACATACACAAACTTTTAAATTGCAAAAGTTATTTTCTTTTTTTTTATTATCTTTCATGTTTTATGTGTACCTCTGGTAAACTATTATTTTGCCCGCAAATGAATTCAATTTCAGCACGTTGAGTCTACAAAAATGAATTTAAAACGAAAACAAAAAAGATAAAAAACAAATGGGTAAAAGTCGTTTATGAAAATTTAACGTATTTAAACAAAACAACAAAAAATCATGTAAACTTTAAAAAATTATCAAAATGTCCCTTTTTTGAAAATATATTTTTGTGGCTTTAAATGAAGATTTATGATTTCTAGAAGCCTGTATGAATGGTAACAATTATTTAAAATATAAATTATTAAAAACAATCTAAAAAAAATATATAAATGTTATATACGTTTTTTTATTTCACTTCTAGTATTTATAAGAAGTTTACATACCTGATGACGTTCAATAAGCGCTTCTGCGCCAGTAACATCATTGGCCAATTCTTCGGAAGTGACAAGGCCCATCATAGAATTAATCCATGCCAAAAGATCTCGATAATCGCTCAAAAATCTTTGAAGATCATACGAATCTAATAATTTTTCCTTGCGTGCCGTTGCTTTTGTGATAATTTGATCCCACATTTCATTGATCTCCTTTTGTTTGGTGTAAGTTTGTTCAGCAGTATCAGGATGGGATTGCATTAGGCGATTAGCAGTATCATCAAGTTGTTTTATTTTATCTCTTAAAGCAGCTAAGTCTCTCTCAATCCCTTCATGTTTTCTTTGGAGTGTTTGGACGGATCTTAGGTCTTTACCTAAATCATCATTATTCAAAGCGTTTTCCTTTTCAGCTATCCAATCTTTTGTTTCATCAATGTCTCGATGAAAACGCTGAACTTCATGTGCAGAACCTAACTGAGCTGCTTTTTCAGTTGTTAATTGTTTCAAATTGGTCCATTTCTCATTTAAATCATGCATTTGTGTTTGAATTTTCAATGCAGCTTCTGTTTGACCTAAAGAAGTTAATTGAACTGCAATTTCATTCATATTGGCCAAACGAACTTCATTTGCTTTCAAATCTCCATTGAAATCGTCGAATTTTTTCTGCAGAACTTCAACTTCTTCCAAATCTTCACCGACATCAACAACTTGAGCGTGCGTTTCTTTATCTTTTATCCACGCAGCCAAATCAGCTGCCTCGCGCACCAAAACGTATGCTTTGACCGTCTCATTCAGTTTATTTTGACGTTCACGGGCTAAAGCTAACAAATTGTCATATTGGGAATTTATTTGACTTTGACGTTTTGAAATAGAATGCCCATCAACCAAATTTTGCTGGCTAGCGCTAAGCCCAGCCTCAATTTTTTTGATGTACGCAGCTGGAACAAAGCCTTGCCGATCATTAACTTCAACTTTCCACCAATCCTTGTTATTTGAGTTCAAAAGAGTTAAAACATCACCTTTTTTCATAGAAACCTCTCGAGGAGATTTTTCAGTATAATCATACAAAGCAACCACGCATTCTTTGCCGGTAATGTCAACCACTGGTGTTTCTTGTTGCCGACAATTTTTCGCCTGTTCTTGCAGTGCTTGTATTGTATTTCCAAAAGCTTCTAAATCAGAAACTAATGCTTCATGTTTTTTCAATAAAGCTTCGGAAGAATCTTCATCTTTTCCATAATCAACGCTCGAAACTATCGGTTCCTTTTCGCGCATCCATGACTCAGCCTCATTAGCGTCTGCAAAATATTGATGAGCTTGTAATGAATCGTCAAGATCTTGTTTTCTTTGAAGAGTTTTTTCTTTTAATGCATTCCATTGATCCCTAAGGGCATCAACTCTCTGTTTTATTTCTTCACTCGCATATGGTTGATCTTTAATCATCTGTTCTCCGGCTTGAATTACATTGATAAGACGGGGTTCGTGATTATTAATTTCGGCCAAAACAGCTTGATGTTTTTTAATTAAATTTTGAACCCCAATTAAATCTCGACCTCTATTAGTTGAAGTAGCGATTGGTTCCTTTTCACGAATCCATGCGGCTTCGTCTTCCAGATCACGGAAAAGTTGTTGCACATGTAATGAATCTGACAAACGTTGTTTACGTGCAGCCATAGGCGTTGCTAAGGCGGCATACCTAGTAGATAAGTTGTGTTCCTTATTGCGAATGTTATCTGCGTCAAAATGGCCGGATTCAATAAATTTGTTCGCAGCCACATTTATACCTTCAATTCTATCTTGATGTGCCATAACATCGGCTTCCAATAGGGCATGTTTTTTCTGCAAATTTTGAACAGATGTCAAGTCCTTTCCATGATCTTCTGAAAGCAATTGTCCTTCGATTTCACTTAACCATAATTCAATATCTTCAATTGTCCGATTAAATTGTTGCTGTTGAGATGCTTCTTGAAGTTTGCAACCTTTTTTATCTGATGCTTGAACTAAGGTTTCCCATAAAACTACTATTTCCTGCATGCGAGTATTAATTTGATCCGAAGCATAATGTTGTTTATTAATTAATTCAGTTCCAACTGTAGTAATGTCCTCTATTCTTGATTTGTTAGCATTAAGTTCGTGTTCAAAGTTTTGATGTTTTTGCATTTTTCCGTTTAAATTTGTTGGATCTAAATAACTATCGTCAGTAGCAAATTTGAGTTTTTCACTGATCCACCCTTTGGTTTCATCACAATCCCGTTCAAATTGTTGATATCGGTTTGAATCTTCCAGAAGCTGGCGGCGAGCGGCAGATTTTTCCTGCAACGCAGAACGACGTGCCAATAACATTTGACGGCGCTGGGCGACATCATCAGCAGCATAATGTTGCCCATCAATCAATTTCGTGGCAAATATATCAAGAGCTTTGATCTTTTCTTCTTGGGCTGCCAAACTTTTTTCAAAATCCTCATGTTTTTTTATTAAAGCCTCTACAGAGTCAAGTGAATCACCCAAATCTTCATTAGCCAAAAAGGCTTCTTGTTTTGCCATCCAGGTATCAGCTTGTTCGGTATCACGGTAAAATAATTGCAAATCCATACATTGCTCATATAAGATCCTACGGTCCTCCCACAATGATAATAATGAGCTTTTATCATTTTCTAAAGCCGCAAGTTTTTCTTGAATTTCCGCAGCAGCGTAATGCTCACGATCCAAAAGCTTGCGTCCAGCTTCAGTAGTTAATTTAAAACTGTCCTCTCTAGCGTCAATTTCCCCTTTATGTTCTTGATGTCTTTCAAGCAAGGCTTCTGCTCCAGCAACATCTTTAGCTAGCTCATCAGCGGATATAATGGCTTTCATACCATTTATCCATGATACCAAATCACGAAAATCGGCGAGGAATCTGTGTAGAAAATAGGACTCATCAAGTTTTTGTTTGCGTTCTTTTGCTTTAGTTGTTAGAGATTGCCAATAATTTGCTATCTCAGCTTGTTTATCTCGAATTTGATCACTATGATCAGCATGAATGGAGCATAGACGTTGAGCTTCAGCGCCCAATGTTGAAACTTTATCTTCTAAAGCTGCAAGATCCCGCTCAACACCTTCATGCTTGCGTTGCAAAGCTTGAACACTTGCTAAATCCCGACCATAATCATCTGAAGATAAAACCACATCTTTTTCTGATATCCACGCAACGGTCTCATCTGCATCTCTATTAAATCGTTGAATTTCATGTGCACCAAACAACTTTTCTTGGCGAACGATTGCAAGCTGCTTCAATCTTTGCCATGCTTCATTCAACTCGTCCTTTTTTTTGGTTATTGTATCGCGCTCGGGGTGGCCATCTTGTAATAATTTATCAGCCAACTGATTTACTTCTGTAACACGATATTCTTGGGAAGCCATATCCTTTTGAAATTCGTCGAATTTCCGTTGTAAAACTTCTACATGCTCAAGATCCTGACCGAATTCATCAGCAGTTACAAAAGCTTCTTTGTCTTTAATCCAAAACATAACCTCTTCGCAGTGACGAAGAAATTGGACTAAAACAAGAGCTTGTTGAAGCTTTTGACCTTTTTCAGCCAAACGACGTAATAACAACTCCCATAAACGATGTAATTCATCTAAACGACGTTGGATAGTTTCAGAAGCAAAGTGACCTTGATTTATCATTTCTTGTCCAGTATTATCTAAAGCAACTATTGCATTACTGTGAGCTGACACCTCTGCTTCAAATGCTTGATGCTTTTGAATTTTAGCTTGCAAATTTGTTGGGTCGCGATAACTTTCTTCACTAGCCGCTTGCAATTTTTCATTAATCCAATTTTCAAGTTCATCTGCATCCCTTTTAAAATATTGGAAACGTCGGGAATCTTCAAGTTTTTCACGTTTTTGTCGTGTTTCAATTTTGAATTCATTGTAGCGTGACAAAACTTGTTCACGTCTTTCTTGGATATCTTCAACTGTTTCAAGTATTTTCACTTCTTTTGGTGTGAACTGTTCCATTTTGTATGTTTTTTCACTTTTACTTTTGATCAAATTTATACCCTTCCCTGTCTAAAAGAAATTATGTATTTTGAAATATTTTTTGATAAAAAAGTTAAAATATTCTCACCTTCCTGGTTCGATTTATAATTTCTTAAAATAAATTTGAGTTGCCGTGTTGTTTCCTTTGAGTTGAATTTTCTGAAAGTTGGTTTTAAATATATATTTTAATTTTATGTAGAGCAATATACTTATATAAAAAGTACACATTAAGATAGAATAATAGCATATTGCTGAAATTATTATATGTTATAAATATTTTCTAATTAATTTATGTAGTTGATCAAGAATTCATTTTTGAATTAATTTTTTTTTGGCATCAAAGTAGGTCTTCCTTCTAAAGATCTAAAGAACCACAAATTCTACTCCTGTTTTACTATATTTACCAATGTTGAAGTATACAAACCCTTTTAAAGCAATTTAATTACACAAACATTATGTCAATTGAATAACTATGTTTTCAAAGGTAAAATTACATGACGCGATACATGCAATTCTGTCAAGAAAAAATATAATTAATTTGCAAAATATTTTGTCAATACTGAAACCTATTTTGTTAATTTACTTAACTTTTTAAAAGAGATAAGATTTATCAGCAAATATAATTTACTTAGCTGTAGTATAAAATACAGAGTTGAATAGTAACAAACAACAAAAAATAATTTATATGAAAATTGAGTCATCACTGAGCGATTTTAATGATTTCAACCAAGTCTCGTTTGCCTTTTATCTGTTGCATAATATATCAATTAAGTTTTTGAAAAGTTCAATTACAATATAATTGATTAATTAAAATACTTGCATGACGTAAACTAACAAAAATTTTTTACATTTAAATAACTATATAAATATGATAAACCTGAAAAAAAAATTTGCAAAATATTTTTAAGAGTGGATAGATTGATCCAAACATTAGAAAAAAAGAGTTTATAATGATTTAACATGATAAAGTTTAATTGAAGTGGTTCAAGTGATTGAAACAGAAAAGTTTAAAGTTACCAATAATCACTTGAATTAATAAAACTTTTGGGGCGAAAAAGGGGTAACACAGATTTCAAAGTAGGTTCTAATTTGTTAACAAATAAATTGCTAACTAATCCTAGTTAATAAATTCGTTAATTTGTTTTTTTCGCAAATCAATTTCAAACAATTCCTTTTCAATGATTTAATATGAAATTTCATTTATAACCATAATCATACAATTTAAGAATTGAAGCAAAAGAAAAAACCATATTAAGTAATTTAAATCTCGCTAATAGAAACGCAATTGAAAATATAACGAATGGATTTGGAATGTCCATGTGTTTATTTTTTCTGTATTCAAAGGTGAATTAATTACAACTTATTTTGTTAGTCTACCCATCCTAGATATATACTTGGTACTTATACCTATAATATAATGATTTTAACTTATAAATACCGCCGTAAAATAATCTCATTTTTCGCGCAATTAAAAATTGTTTCGTATTTTTAAACCAACAAAACTCATAAGTACCATCTATTTCTTCTTCTGATAGACTGGTTTATTGAAAAAAATAAAAGCAAATTAAAAATATTGATATTTTTCAGTAGGTTCTATTGTAAAAACTTCTTTTCTATTTCATAATTTTGAATGTAATAAAAATACATAGGTGTATAATAAACATACGTAGTATGCTTTAAATTAACAGGTTGGTTGGTAAGCAGATAAAGTCATAAAAAGTTGAAACACCATTTCAAATTCCAAAAGGGAAAGAAAAGCTTAAATACAAATTAAATTCTAACTATTTTCTAATATTTCAATAGGATTTTATTTTCTAAAAAAAATTAATTAATGGTTGATAAACTTACCTCCCTACATGTATTAGGAGGGTATCGTTTTTGCGAAGGAATGAGAGGAAGATCAAATTAGATACTTAGCCCTATCCTTATATTATATTAATATTAGCAAATAACTTTAAAAAACCAAATAAAATTTCTAGTTAATACTCACATAAACTCCTTAACCGGCCTACTATAATAGCAAAATTATTATTTTATTTAAATATTCAAGTATGGTAGCAATGAGATAAGCAATTACTAAATTGCTGTGAAAAATAGCGTCGATGACGCAATTTTTATAATTAAATGGAATACAGGAAAATCTAATTTATCGTTTTTGTGTACACACAACATTAAGATGATTATTACAGGAAATATGTACATACTCGTATAATATGTAACTATTATATCCACTGTTTTAAATCAAATATTTCAATATAATATAATATGTAAGAATGAACATAACTGTTTATTTATCTGTGCATATAAGAACTACAATATTGCCTTATATACTTAATTAAAAAATATTAAATTAATAAATGGTAGGTGATAAATGAATAATTTTAGTCTTCAATTTTTCGAAAAGTTTTAAGTAGGTAACATATGTAAATAATTTCAAAAATTTTAATTCCAATAAGAATTATGTATAAATTTAGCATATTAATACAATTAAATTTAACGTACTTATGTATTACTATTAAAGTATTGATTTTTTTTTTTTTTGAAAATTTTAAAATGGCTGCCTAAGGTCGAGAAATATTTTTACGATGACGTAGTCCTATGATCTTTATTTTCTTACAAATAGGAAAATTGAAATTTTTACAAATTCTTGTTTTTTTTTTTAAAGCACTTCTAATTTTATTTATTAGCCACAAGTTATTTAAATTTTTTAAATATTTATTTCTAATAAAAGATTAATTATGTATATTTATTTTTGGGTGTGGTTAAATTATTTAAATTTTCACAATTTACATTGGTATTTGATCAAAATATTTTATTAAACTTTCGAAATATATATTTTACATTAATCACTTTTAGGTATGTTGTAATTTAAACTTACACTTTATTAACCAAAATTTGGCAATTTAGTTTTAATATTTTTTATTTTTTTTATGTAGGTATATTAATCCGTCCAAAGTTTCCCTCATAAATATAAATACTTTAGCACTTTCCCTAATGAACACGTTCACATAACTAAATTGTAAAATACAAAAAACAATTATGTCATGAATTGTCATTTCCAATAGAACCAATATTAGTATACTACCATCAACAATTAAAGGTTGCCTTCTTGCCAAAATATGGAACATTTTTCTATTTTAAAATTATTAAAGTGCTTCAAGCAATTTTCTGCTGAAAGGTTGACTTAAGAAACTCAAAAACTTTGAAGAAAAAAAAGTATAAGCTTTCCTTATGCAGCGGTTTAACTTTAACATTTAGATATAATATATTCTCCATTCTGTTTATCTTCTTAAAAATTTAAAAACAAAGAAATATAAAACTGACAGCTCGTTTTCTTACAAAATTCATATTTTTTTAAAGGAAAAATAAGATGGCGCAAAACCTTTCAGTGGAACTCTGCAGCGATAGGCAACTAAGCCCTGCAATTCATCAAAGTGCTTAAGTTGGGTGAACGTTGCCACTATTCTTGAATTCACCTAAATGGTATTATGATTAAATAAAATTCTTTCGGGAGAAATGTCAAAACCAGGCGAATAAAAATTGTACATCAGTCAGTGTTTCCACTCGGTAAAAATAAAATGTATCCAATTCCGAGAACAAAAATGGATTCCAAAATGTATGTATTGATATTTCTGGTACGATCTTGCCTTAATGTTCTAGTATCTTTCTTACTTTCTTCTAACAAATTTTTAAATCTGCTCAGTAAAGCCAGCAAAAAACGGTTTTACGTTTTTTTGAAGATAAAGCAATTTTGCGATTTAATATTAATTTAATATTTAACAGTTTTGTAATATTTATTTAGTGTTTGAGAAGGAAATGTATCCAATTTTCAGCAAAATTTTCAAATGTAGCCAATTTCGGCATTTTAGAAGATTTGAGTATCTTTGTATGTAGAAAATATTTTCAAAATTTTGTTGATTTTCAGTTGATAGTTGAAAAGGTAAAACATTAGTATGTATTTAGTAGCAAAATAAATTTTAATTTTTAATTAAAAGTAATTAAAAAACACTTTTTTTAATAGATAATAAATCTGTGTATGAAGCATATAATGAAAATTTTTTTTTATGGTAAAATAAAAGTAGTATAATATACAAATTCATAAATTTTTAATTTAAAACAAAGTAGGAACAATTCGCAAAATTAGTTCGAACTTTGCAGTTAATTTAAACGCTCTGGAATCGCTAATAAAAAATCAATTAAGCTGACTCCGTTTCTGGTAAATCCAAAGGATTTGATTCATCCCCTATACATGTTCGTATCCTTCCAATGTTTGAATTTTTCTAGTCTTCGCCACTATTACTAGGGTACCCATCACAATAGAATAAATCGACACTCAATGGAAAGACATTTTCATTTACTTCATAAAGTAAAAATGTTAAGATATCAATTAAACATAAATTTTTTTTTAAATTTTCTTACTTTTTTAAACTACATATATTATTCGGTTTTACTTTTTTAATAAGTTCATGTAATTTTTGGATCTCGATAGCAACGACTTTTTCCTAACGAATTCAGGTTGTTCGTGAATCATAATATCATTTCGGCGAATATTCGAATAAAATACTCCTGATTTTGAAAAAATTCAGGAACGAAGCAGTGTTGCTAATTTTACTACAATTATAGTTTCTTACTATACTATCATACCACTGCAAAACCATTCTTACTACTGTTTTGCATTTATACTGGAAAATATTATTTGTGGTGTTGTATAGATGCTCTGATAGCCTTGTTGATCCTCTTACTTCTTTATTTAACCGTTTATCGTTGGTGTCTTCTGCTTTTCCTTCAGCTTGGAAGTCGTACGTTGTTCCGGTTCATAAGAAAGGCTTACGTTCTTCGGTTAGTAATTATAGGCCTATTGTTAAGATGTCGGCTATTCGGAAGTTTTTTGAAAGTATTTTGGTTGATTACTTCTACTCTTTTTGTAGCCCTTTTATTCACTCCGGCCAGCATGGTTTTTAGAGGGGCAGGTCTGTTGTCACCAATTTGGTTGGGCTTGTCTCGGATACTATTAATGTTATGGAGGGGAATGGTCAGGTCAATGTTATTTTTACGGATATTAGTAAGGCCTTCGATACTATTCCGCATCAGGTTATACTGAGAAAGTTGGATGGCGTGGGTTTTTCTCTTCGTAGCTTGATGTGGATCTACTCCTTTTTGTTTTGCAGATTTTATCGGGTTTCTTTCCGTTCTGCTCTGTCTGATGTCTATTGTGCCGAGTCGGGTGTTCCGGAAGGTAGCCATTTGGGTCCCACACTTTTTTTAGTTGCGACTAACGATTCTTTCGTTCTGTTGCGGGTTCCGTGGTTTATAGTTTTGCAGATTGCTCCAAAGTTGTGAGGACGGTTCGGTCAGAGGTTGATTGTCTAGAGTTACAGAGGGATTTGGATAGTTTTTGGGACTGGTGTAGGGTCAATGGCTTGGAACTTAACATTGGTAAGTGTCGGGTCATGAGCTTCCCGCGTAGGCCAATTCTCGAGTATGCTTGTCAGGTTTGGGCGCCCTTTCGGATGTTTCTCGTATTGAATCTGTTCAGAAGAAATTATTGTGTTTTGCATTGAGGGGTTTGGGTTGGTCTGATCCTTTTAGGCTTCCGAGGTATTAGGCTAGGTTGATGTTGATTGATTTGCAGTCCTTGGGGGCACGTAGGGTTGTTGCTGACATAGTGTTTATCCTTCAGCTTGTGTCGGGGGCCATTGTGGCTCCCTATTTGTTGAGGCAGGTTTCTATTAGGGATAACGTAAGGAATCTTAGGTCTGTGGATTTGTACAATGTTCTCATCTTGTTTCTCTCTCGTCTTTATTTATCTATATTATCTATATTATCTATGTATTTATTGCCTGGTTGTTGGTTTTTTTTATCTTTTTTTTTTGTTAATCGTTATGGTTTTTTGTTGTTATTATTATTAATAAGTTGTGCTCGTCATTGATTTTACTTGCCCTTTTGTCCTTCCCTCTTTTTTTTCCTACATATTCCCTTTTTTTCCCTTTCTCTCCTGTAAATGACGACGCTGTTGCTTAATAACTGATAGTTGCATAATTGCGACTAAATGATGTTTTTATTTTGCGCCTGTTTGCGATATGCTTAATGCTTGATCGAAATAATGGATGTTTGGTATTTATCCTATCTACGAAACAGATTGATGAAATATCTTGAAATTTGATATTGGAGTTCTCGTTGTTACCGAAACTAGTTGGTTTTTTTCAGAGAATTCGGATGGCACAAAGCGAAATTCAATTAAGGACGAAATTTACTCTTTTCTAGGTATGTTTACTAAAAGCTTGCTAACTTCCTTAAAATTGGAAGAAGCGTTCAAAATGCATGTTCGTAATATGCTGTAACACTTTCACTAAACTAGGCCATATACAATGCGGTCGGTTATGTGCTGACCACATCAGATAATTTTTTGTTTTTGTTAATGATAACCTCAAATTACTACGCTAAAGCTCTCAGTACTACTTTTTTTTGAGAAAAAATGCTACTGAAAAGCAAGTTGAAAATAATAAAACTGGAACGAAGGCAACCAATCGGAATACTTCGCGAAAAAATTTAGCATTTTTAATTATATCCTTTAGTATTTTTAATTCATTGAAGAAGGAACATCTCTGTTTCTATTTCGCTTACACTCCCTAAAAAATCATATCTTAAGTAAGTCTCTTCCTTTGCTCCGAGCATTTTCAAACTGAAATTAATATTAAATGCTAAATGTTGTTTTTTTTCTTAGAAAATTACGTGCGCTATATAAACAATAAACAAGGAATATTTTGTTATTTTATTTATGAAATTAGTGCAGTTTTAAATAAAGAGTCGTAAAATATTTTATAATAAGTGCTGAGAAAAGAATATTATTTTATAAAAACTTATAAAAAAATTATAAAAAGCGAAAAAAAAAAATTGTTGTTCCCATTTGCATAAACAAATAGTTTTTTACACCATATACATGTGATTATTTTTCATTTCAATAATTAAAAGAAATATTTATTCAATATTGCTTTGATTATTTCAAAATTTGTAGTTTTATTAGGTTTTTAATTTTTTAAAGAAAACATTTGTTTTTGTTTTAAAATAAAATTACTTCGGACATGATATCATTTTCCCAGAACCGGATTTTTTTTAAGCAAAATGAGTTTGTGTTTAATAAAATGTAGCATACAAACAAATATTTTAAATTGATCTTTTTTTTTGTATAATTACAGTTTCTAGAAATGATGAAATGAAATATATTTTCTTTTATAGAATTAATATTTGGCTCCGATGCCGTTGAATTAAGTAAGTAAAATATTGTTTTAGAATTAATTAGTATGTGACGCTCAATTAATGAATTAGGTAGAATATGACAACATACCACCTACTTCAGTGAGTAATAACCATCATATTAATTCAAATTTGTTAAAATTTATACTGCTTTAAAGTAATTAAAATTTATATGCATTTATATTTATTGTTATTAGTTAATATTGTCTAAAGTTGTTCAGTAAAATTGTTAAACAAAACTGATAATATATGAATTTATAAAATTTTTTAACACAATATGTTCATTGTCGAGGGACATGAAATATTGTGATAAAATAAATTTATTCAAAGAGAAAAAAAATAACGAGTTTTGTTTAAATTTTTTTTCACAGATATCTAAATTACTCTTATTTTATAGACAAGAAAATAAAATAAATACGGTTCTATTATGATTTTGACAAAGCTCGGCGCAAAGAAATAGGCAACTAGAAAAAATTTGCTTCATTGTTTTTTCAAGATTTATCCTTCCTTTAGTATTTCTAATTCGTTGAGTCGTACGCATGGCTAAATAGTAGAGCAATATTACTATAGTAGTCAATCTACAATATACAATCTACTATATAAATACAAGCAATATGTAATGCTTACCAAATTTGCCTGTTTGTCATTTAGCAATACGGGGAACAATATGATTCTATGCGTGATGTTTGTACATATATATTATATTAACTGACTTAAAAGTAGAAATTATTTGTTGAACGCTGGAGAGGAATTTGTTTTCTGAAAATTTTCAATTTAAAGCAGAGATTAATTATAGATAATTATTAATTTGTATTATTTAAAGTTATAGCTAGTATATATTTTTCCACTGATCTTTAGTTTTTAAATTTATTAAAAGTTAATAAACTGATAATAATATCAATTATTAGTCGAGTTATTTCTAATTCAATAATAAAATTGAATATAAATTCAGAGTTATGTTTGATTACCCATTGACAAAAAATTAGATGCAATTTAAATACATTTTTATTTAAAAATGGCTACAAGAAAATGCGATTTATCTTTGAAAAATTTTTATATCTTCAATTCATTAATTTCGCATAAGGAGGGTGAAGTAAATAGCTCTTGAAATTGAATTTAAAACATATCAAATCTTAATTATGTACGTTACAGGAAAACAAAAAAGTATTGTTTTATTACCCAGCAACAGATGATGAAATTAAGATTAGAGATATTGGCTTAACTGAAGCCATTATCAAATTTACTGGGTATGTAAATTTGCGATTTTTGTTTTGGTAATCAATATCTTTATCTTTACTTCTTTAGAACATTCAATGCGGAAAGCAAAGCTTTGCACACACAGAAGACAACTCAACTCTTTTTTCAACCTGAAAATGACTTTTGGATGGTTTTGGTAAGTATCTTTATGTAACACGAATCTTTTTTTACGTAGATAAAGCAATAATACTTACATTAGTTTCATGAGAAATATTTTTACTCTTATATATTCAAATTTCATTAATTAAATAAGATCGTCGAAAAATTCATTCATACATGAATGATTTTATAAAAATAAGAATTTTTATAATCATAACAATTTTTTTTTGCTTTTGAATCTGTAATTTTTTTTCCATATTAGCCCATACTATGTTAAAAAACTAAAGCCATTTAATTTTTAATGCTTTTAGACTTTAAATGTTCCATACGAAGTCAGAACTAAAGAAGGTGCAGAAATAACGGATCACAGGGGTAAAGATGTCACAGACAAAGTTTTTAGAGCAGTATTACGTCAGAGTTATTTGATGTTTAAATTATTTGCTGGAACTTTTGCAATGAATTTTGTTGGAGAAACGGAAGACGAAAAGGCTGATACTTTAAGAAAGAAGTTGGATTTATTCTATTCAAAAGTATTTATCCATATTAAATATGTATAAAAAAAGTACAATCGGTAAATAATATATATTTTAGTATTTATTAACCCTAAAGCTTCCATCTTGTGATATAATTGATGTAGTAAGAAGCATACAGTATTTACCAGTAAAAAAAAATTTATTTCTTAGAATACATAATTTTATAAATATGATGCAAGCTACTTTCCCCACAATTGAACATTGTGTGTTTTTATATAACGATCAACTAATTTGGTTAGTTTTACTCTTTTACAGTTAATCTAAATATTTTAGTATTAATTGTATTAAAATTTAGGAGTGGTATAAATTCATCAGATCTGTATTCAGTTCATGAATATTTAGTTGGGAGCTTATTTCCAAAAGCATTTGAATCCGAAATACAGGGTGGTCCAATTAGAAGAAGTTACTCAATAGATTGTGGTCATTATGGCACTTTCTTAACAGGTCCGGAAAATTTTGATGATTCCATCAAAGCGCCAAAAATATACATAACTCAAAATGAAGAGTTGAAGTGCTTTTATTTGATAGTTTACAGAGCTCTAAATGGAACGCTATGCATTTTGATTGACGGTAATTGATATTAATAAACTTTACCTCGCGGGTTTGTTCCTAACAGTTGAATTTAATTAAACACAGAATTTATTTAAGGCAAGTCTTTAATTAATGATGAATTTTATTTGGAATTGCACTCTTATATGGGACCTCAACTATCGAGTATAGCATCAGAAATCGGCGAAACTTTTTCAAAAGGATCAAATTCAATATCGAACAAAGATTTAAATGAAGAAGATGCAGGTCCAAAGTATCTTTTTATAAATGAGTTGAATTTGCGTCATAAAGGTTCATTCAATTTTAATCAAAAAAATAGAGGAATGACAACGATTCCGAGAAACGTAATGAGTTTAATCGCTGATTTATATAACGAAAATGAGTTTGAGTCAAACGGCAAATTTGAAGAAATATGTTTCAAATCTATAAGCGACTATTGGATTGTAAAAAAAACATCTAATTGGAGACAATTCTATGTAATTATTCATAACAATAAGGCTACATTACTAGACATTACCAATGAAGCAAAAAAACTTTTCGAGCAACATACAAGCGATTTTTTCTTCTGAAAAGTATATGATTTAATATGATTTGTAAAAAGTTGCAAACCCTATTTTAAAAAATAACTTCATTTTTATTTTAAATAAAATTAAATATTTATTTATGTATGTACATTTTCTTTTATTTTTAGAATTAAAGCAATATTGTATGCATAATTATAATAATTTTAAGTAATTAAAAGTTAGTGCAGAAAAAAAATTATATATTTAAACAAGCAGATTATTTACTTCATTATCGGCTGATGGTATATAATTTGTATGTTTGCGTTTTACAACAATAATTTTGCGATTTGACATACATATTGTGTAGCTGTGATCATCATAAACTATCGAAATACGTTCACATCCATTTTCTGGCATAAACTCTTCATCGACGCTAAAAATAGAAAAAGATGATTAATTAATTTCCTTATACAGATATAAATAAATTTTTTGACGTTCGTTTATTATATTCACCTGCAAGTTATATTTAAAAAAAAAGGTTTGCTTTTTGCAAAGCAAAAAGATTAAACGTCAAGGTCACGGACATGTATATAAATAGTATGGCAAAAGTGCATGCATAATTATTAAGTAAGCATGCTAAATAAAGAAAAGTGCCACTGAATTCCAATTTTATGCTTATTTCGAATGTGTAACTTAAAAAAAATATTAATTCCTATCTTAAATATATATATACATATGTCTTTCTATCCCAACACAATATGTACTTCCTTAAATCACCATGTTAATTAAAAAAAAGAACGTAAAATCCACTTGAAATCTATTTATAAGTAAGTTGTTTGTAATTAGATGGGCCTGTATAAGTGATAGGTAAATATCTTTCTTTATTTTCCAAAAAATTTCTTTTTGGTGGAAGTGGAGGGGCTTTAATTGTTAGTATTCCGTCTGAAGATAATGAGCTTGTAATATTGCCGCTGTCTATATAATCTGGTAAAATATATTTGCGAACAAACGCTCTAGAAATATAGCCGTGGTTATCCGGACGTTCTTCATGCTTCCCTTCTATTATAATTTCATTGTCAAATGTTTTGACAGTTATTTCACTTGGACGAAATTGAATGCAGTCAATCGCTACGTGAAATCCATCTTTACCATAAACAGGATGAGATTCTTGATCTGAATATAATAATGATCTTGGTGCGTAGCGATCAAATTCTAAACCGTAGCGATCCCAATACCAAAAACGATCGAGAAAGTTATCAAATACTTTTAGTTCCTTATCAAAACGATCCAGATAGTTATCATAACGAAATTTAAACGGAACAAGAGACATTTTTAGCTTGAAATTTACAAAACTAAATAAAAGATTTTTCAATCGTTTTTGACGAAAGACGGGTACATACTGTTTTTCTTAAAATTTAATTTCAATTATTTAAAGGAAATAAAATATTATTTCGCTGCCAAAAATTATGCGCATTTATTTAATTTGAGCTAATCTTTTTTTCAATATTTTATTCATTACTTTCACTTATTCTTATTAATTCTGTAAATTATTTTTATCCTATATAGACATATATGACGTAATTTACTTCTTGGATGTGTTCCCAAAATTTTAAAAAACATAGCAAGAAGTCTTATATCTGCAGCATAAATTTTCTTGAACACAAAAATTTAAATTGAACTTAAATTTAATTGAACGTAATCAAAACGATTCTACATAAAACTAAAAATTTTAACAGCCTAACACTAATATGATAGATAGCTACTTGCCAAAATAACAACAAGCTTAGGGAGTAAAACCTTCCAATGTAATGGCTTTACAAGAAATCCACAAGCATTGAAATGCATTTGCTCTCAACATTTTTCCTCCGCTTCGCTAGAAGATGATAAGAATGAGTCAACATTGGAATTTTTACTTAATTTAATGTGTCCAAATGACTTCAGATTCCACAAGAACTAAGTGTGTAATTCTTTCTAACAATGTATTACTTAAGAAATGCACTTTCTAGGTTTCAAAGTTAGTTTCAGAAACACTTTCTGGATCATTGCCTTATTTGTATATTTTTAAATTATTTCTTCTAAACTTTTGCTTTTTAAAAATAAAAGGTTAAGTTAAGATAGATAATTTTTGCTTAAAAGGCTTTGATATTTTTTTTCTCATGCCCGATTTTATTATCTATTTGTTCAATCGAATTCTGTTGCAATTGGGCGATATCTTTTTCGCTTCACTGTATATATTCATATTCACGGAGATACAGTCCTATGTACATAATATGTTATACATATATGAGCTAATTGAAATTACACTTTATGTCAATTTTGTAATGTATTTTTGTTATTTTGGATTTAAAAATATATTTTATTATGTAGTTTCATAGCACAAATTTTACCACAGGAACCAAATTCGTTTTAGAAAGAAAATAATATTAAACTATTTTTCTTAGTTTTCCTTAAATAAAAAAAATTGTATTAAGTAGCTATTTTTCATGTACCTTTCCGCTATTTGTATCATTCCCATAATTATGTTTGCACTTCTTTCATCATTTTCCAATTCTCCACCAGATTCCAATACAGCTCCATCGCTATTTAAAACTAAATATCCTATTTGATAAGCTATTCTTTCTAACGGAGGTAACATTTTTATTTTTTAAATATATGTATTTCGATGCGAGCATTACAATAAAACATCCATAACGTACATATGTTTCTACGCATAATAGACGTACTAGATTAGGTTTTTTAAATCTATTGTGACGACAGTGATACTCCATATTATGACAATCATACATTTATATTCCTCCCATTATAGTGTTGGTAAAGGTTTTCAAAACTGGTTCGGCAAAAATAATGGATATTATTGAGTTTTGATGAATTTTTTAAAATTTCCTAGCACAAAAAAGGGTAAAAAATAGAAGAAAAATATTAACATAAGCTCCCTTTACGAGACAACGTTAAATTTTAACTCAAATATCTTATTGTCTCGTTAAAGTTTACTGCTGTTGAACTTTTATCTTTCAACAACACGATTCATATTAATATAAAATATGTAAAGACAATTCTCAAAAAGTAAATATATGGTATAATAAATTAATAGTTAGATACTAAAAAAGCTAGTATTTTTACAAACTTATGAAATACATTCCTATAGTTTATTATTATTTTGCTCTTAAGTAGTTAAATATTTTTTTTCCAACTTAAGGGTTTGATAAATTAAATATCTTATAAAATAATTTCATAATTTTTTTGAGTATAGGTATATTTGAATATAGGTATTTATTGAAATTATGTGTATTATTCTTATAAAATTTAAATATATTATAAGTATAATACACATAATTTCAATATACAATATCCAAAATATTAAATTTAAATCCTTAAAAAAGTAACTACAAACATTAGAGTATTTTCAAATATTTTTTTCGCACTTTCACCGCAGAAGTTGATGAATGTAAGTCGGCTTATACCCTTATTATAATCGGCCAAGTGGATGTCTAGAAGAGTCGAATGGACTAGTGTGATCGGTAAATGCTTTCATTCAAAAATAATAAGGTTAACAATACACATATGTTCATTGTTTTTGCTCTTTTGCAACGATTGAATTTGCTTATCCCTCAAGCAATGTCGGGGTTGTTCTCTATTAATTTATATAGAATGCTCGAATTGCTTTTGGTTCGTTTTTTTCACGCTTAAGTTAATATTAAACAATCAATTATTTTTACAATAGTTTGTAGAATTTTATGAACTTACTTTACAGATAGTTTATATTTTTCCCTTATATTTAACACTTATGTATTAATTTTATTTTTGTTTTTATTCGCCGCGCTTGCAATACAGAATTTTCATTCGACAGAATTGAGAGCTCATTCGCCTAAAATTTAGAATTTGCCAAAAATTATAATATCAAAACTTCATAATCGCCAAAAATTCCATTCGCCGACTATTGAAGGGCCTTAGAATGTTTTCTTTACTACGTTGTAAAAGTTATTGTGAATAATGAATTGTATCTTGTTTACACAAGTTAGAGTTCAAGAATTATTGTGAATTTGCTTAGTCTGTTATGTTTATTGTTCTGTAAGCATTAAATTAATTTGTCTATAATTTTTTATATTTTGGTGAAAACAATTAAATTTGAAATATGAGTAACATATATATTCAAGAACCTCCAACACTTGGAAAGGTAAAATCTAATAAATAGGATATAAAGAAATACAATGACAATATACTTATGTCTTTCAGGTTCTTCTAAAAACTACTGTTGGTGATATAGACGTAGAACTTTGGTCTAGGGAATGTCCAAAAGCTTGTCGTAATTTTATACAACTATGCATGGAGAATTATTACAATGGGACAATTTTCCACAGAGTTGTCAAAGGATTTATTGTTCAAGGTTAACTTACTAAAATGAATTAAGTATGGAGGTATCTACCTATCTACATTTTAATTTTTATTTTATTTAAATTAGGTGGAGACCCAAATGGTGATGGCACTGGTGGTGAGTCAGTTTATGGTGTTCCTTTTAAAGATGAATTTCATTCCCGACTTCGATTTATCCGTAGAGGATTGGTTGGTATGGCAAATTCTGATAAAGATGATAACGGTTCTCAATTCTTTTTTACTATGGGTCCTGCACCTGAGTTGACTAACAAGCACACTCTTTTTGGTAAATGAACGTTTGCTTATTTTGTGTAATGTTAATTGATCTGCATTTAAAGGAAAAGTTACTGGAGATACGGTATTCAATATGCTAAAACTTGAAGATGGAATGGTGGATCATAACGAAAGGCCGATGTATCCTAACAAAATCCTTAAAACAGAAATCCTGAATAATCCTTTCAACGACATTGAACCCAGAGAAAATATGGTAAAATTCATGTAACAAAGATACATTAAAATTATTGCAAACTATGTAAATCTTTTTATAGGTGAGGAAGGAGGAAAAAAAAAAGAAATCCAAAGACAAGGGCGTAAAGTAGGTAACTAAGAATATTCTGAAAGATTTAAAAAAAGTGTATTTTAAATTTAGAAATTTCGGACTGCTTTCTTTTGGTGAAGAAGCAGATCAAGATGAGCAAGAGACTGCTTCTTTTGTACAAAAATTATCAGGTAAGGGGAAATCTACACACGATGTTCTTAACGATCCAACACTCAGTAAAAAATCAGTTCAAGTTGTAGAAGGTAGGCTTATTATGCCGAAAAATTTGATATATTTATTGAATTAACTATTTAGATCATGAAAATGATCAAGGAGAACTATCTGATATTGAAGAATTTGAAGACCGAGATAATCTTGACAGTAAAGAAAGAACAGAGAGGGTTAAAAATAGGCTTAATATGCTTGTAACAGCTAACAAAGAAAAACAACATAAAAAAGTTAATATTGAAAAACAAATGATTAAAGATTCTGATTCAGATGATGATGTATTAATGCCGCTAGAGGAAGAAATGAAAAACAAAATGAAGAAAAAAAAGTTAGTGTAACTATTCTTACATTAAAGATTCATTTAAATTTTTAATACATTTTTAGACAAGAAATCATGGATGAAATTCTCTTATTAAAAAAAAATTATCAGAAGGAAAAAGATCAAAGAAAGTTTTTGCGTGAAAAGGAATTGGAAAATGATTCTAAAAGAAAAAAAGTGGATGAAATATTTCGGGAATACAATTCGGAAAGAGAAAAGTATTCTAATCTTAAAGAAAAGTTACCGAAAAAAGGAGCTACAAGAGAAAATTTTACTTTAGAATTACTTTCAAAGTTCAAAAATAAATTACAAAATCATAAAAACAGTTCAATAAATTCTGTTCCAACAAAGGAATTAAGTGAGGATATCATAGAAAAGGAGATTGAAAGTGATGATTGGCTTGGACATACATTAAAGTTTGAAGATAATATTCCTGTTTTGGCAAAAGATGCCTCAACAAAATCAGACGATTGGTATGATGTCTACGACCCAAGAAACCCATTAAATAAGCGAAAAAGAGGTGAAGATAAAAGAGATACAAAAAAAAATAAACGCTAGTAAAAATATAGAACCTTGGGGTTTTACCAATAAAACAGGGAAGTAATATTTTTTTTTGGTAATAGTTACAAAATTAGTTTTATTTCAAAAAAACAAGAGAGGTAAAAAGAAACTTAATGAAACCCTAAAAATAAGACTTAATTTCAAATTGTACTTGATAACTTAGTTGTTTTTTTGAAAATACTTTTTCTTTTCTTCTGGATTTGGAATGATCTAAAAATAAATAAAAAATTAGTATATGCCAAAATCAAATTAAGTGATCTATATTTTTTATTAAGGAAAAAAGAAAAATGCAATGACTTACAGTATCGCTTCCTGGCTTCCATCCAGCAGGACATACTTCGCCATGTGTATCTGTAAACTGAAAAGCTTGAACTAGACGTATAGTTTCATCAACAGATCGTCCAACAGGCAAATCATTCATTGTTATTTGCCTTAAAATTCCTTTCTGATCAATTATAAATAAACCCCGGAGAGTATGACCCAAATCATCAAGATAAACGCCATAGTCCTTGGAAATTTTATGATTTAAATCACTTAACAATGGGATTTTTATTTTTCCTAACCCTCCCTCTTTTCGTGGAGTATTAATCCAAGCCAAATGTGTAAAATGAGAATCAACACTACACGCAATCACTTCTGTATTTATATCTTTGAAATCCAAAATTCTCTCTGAAAAGGCTAAAATCTCTGTTGGACAAACGAAAGTGCTAAAATTTTAGTATGTATTTTAGTAGGCATATTTAAGAACTAAGTTAAATTTTAATTACAAATCTAGAGGATAGAAGAAAAATACAACATATTTTCCTTTATAGTCCGAAAGGGAAATATGTTTAAATTCACCATTGATTACAGCAGTTCCTTCAAAATAAGGGGCAGGACGTGAAATCACAGCTTTAGTATATTGTAAATTATGTTCGCCTATTTTTCAGTATATAAAGTTTATAACCATTTAATTTTTTTTCGATATTAATGTTAATTACATATGTATGTACACAAACCTTTTGGATCTCCATGAGGAAACACATCTTTCCCTGAACCTCCAAAGGAATAACACTGATTATCTTCAACCAGTGCTCTAGAATAGTTTAATGTTTGAACAAAAAAAACAAACAGAAGGTTTATTCTTTTGGAAAACATTATAATTTCATGAGATCTTTTTAAATAATGAAAATCGGAAATTCGAACTTTTACCACGTCACTTGTTTTCCAAAACAAAACATACAGAAAACTGGAGGAGAATCTGCTAGTCAATACAGTATTTCTACTTTTATCACAAAGGGTTTTTGTTATCAAACAAAGTTAATAGATAATAACTAAATTTAACTTCGCAATGTATTTCAGGCCTCGCGGAAAAGCTTCCCGGTGATATTTTTCCCCTTTCTTTTCTAAAATGCTCGAATAAATAAAAAACCAAACAAATACACAAACGTAAATATCTGACAGTAAGAATGTCAACCAAAACTTATTCATTTAGGAAAAAAGTTGCCATATTATATATTGCAACATGTTTACCTAATATCGGAGCAACAGCGATACAAAATTTTCTGCTAAACAAACAAATTTTTAGCTTCTATGAGAATTTTCATTCTCAAAAGCAAAATATACATAACCCATAAATTTCAATAAAATTAGAAACTCGTTAAGAGGAAAAGGTACAAGTCTATTTTGTATATTTTTCTAAAAGAATTATAGCATTATAGGTACTTTCAAATATTCACCTATGACTACAAATTTATTATTTTAATTAATAGTTTTCCCAATAATTTCGATAAAATTTTGATCTATTGAGCATAAAAATGTCAAACCGTATAGTTTAATGTTCATTCATTTTACAAAATTCCAAATTAATACCGGGGAGGGGATGACATTTTGCCTATCGCATGCGGCGTTCACTTTTGAGTTCATGTTTGCAGTTTTATTTCTAAGTTAGAAATAAATTTAGAAAATTTTGAAATTTAACTAAAACTTCTTGTCAATTAAGTTTATCGTCAAACTAGTTATAACAAACATAAAAATTCCACCGGAATTTTATACAATTTCTCTAAATAACATTATGTATGTAATTGTAATATCATAATTTTCATTATTGTTTAATAAAAAACACATATTTTACACTTTTTAGCTGGTTCACAAGTCCAAAGACTGAGGGTCTTTTGGTTAATACAACTACAATTATCTAATGTATTATGGAAATAAATGAGTTTTGAGAAACTTAAAATTTTTTTTTTTTAAATTTTGGTTTCATTTTGTATTTTTTTCAGCTATTTGGAAAAGATATTTTGATTTGGAAAAAAATATTTAAGCGTGTTTTGTGGCAAAAAATATAGTAGTAAAACACTTAATTTAAAAGAAAACTAATAATTTAATGTTTCATATATTAACCTGGCACATAAATTTTCACCACAATATAAAAATTGATAAGATTTTGTAATACTCCTATTGTCATAAAAAGTTTCATGTTCAAATATTCCGCAAATTTTTTACGCTCTCAATATATTAACTACACTACAGTACAATGTTGCCAACTCTTTCTTGCTCAATTTACAAGTTCGAAAATTCCTATTTTTTTCCTTTCCAAACCTTATTTTTCCCACATAATTTCCCATAGATTTATTATCTATACGCATTGCACTTTAATACATACTATTTATATTAATACATACATATTTATTCATTTAAAAATCCAAAAATATTCCATTAATTCAATTGCATAACTTAATTAATAATGATTATTTAAACAGTATTACACACATATATATATATATATATACTATTCAGTTTAAGAGCTTCAAAATAAATAATAGAACTTTTTATTTTTGATCAAGTGTCAAAATAGCATTTAATCACAAATAAAAAAAATTAAAATGAGTAAATTAGGGAAAATAAAATTTCAATGGAATTTCCAACGATTTTGGCCTTTTTGCCCTTTTTTCCTTTAAGTTTTAAAATTCCCTAAAAATTTATATATTTATAAATTTTTTTATATTTTTATATATATATTTTATTTATTTCACAAGACGAGCGTAACTGCTCATATAGAATATATAATACGATTCCATTTGTATAAATTCAAAATATCAAAATGGGAAACTTTCCACAATTTGGCAACACTGGTAGATTATAGCTACACGCAAATTTTGGTTTTATTTCAAGTTTCAGTTGCAAAACGAAATTGAAACGCGACGTGTTTATTAATTTAATTTAAGTAAATCATTTTGTCCGTGTGTTGTTAATTAGTTAAAAAATATTATGTACAATTATCTTTAAAATTTAGTTTGAAATTAAAAGTGTGAAATAAATTAAAATAAATATCTTACTTATACTAAGCGTGTATTTATCACGCTCAATAAACAAAAAAGAAAAAATGGAAACGTTCATTAAATCTTTATTTGTGTATTTTATTATTTATACTATCCCAGTTGTAGCAGGTAAAATAAAACTTCAATACACAATCATTAAAATGTACTTAAAACTCACTAAATCAAATGGTTAAAAATAAGTTTGAGAGATGAAGAATTAAAATAAAAATATGAAAATTAAAATAATAAATTTTTTGTAATATCAAAATAACTTGCCTATTTTAAAAATTTGGGCGTGTTCTGTTTGGAATTTTTTCTTAGTTATTTCGATAAAAGAATAGTTCAATAGAGATCTTGTCAACAGAATGAATCATCACCTATAGTAAAAATGTCATGAATGATCTTATGTTGCTTAATGCTTTATATTAAATATAAAAATATATTTGTACTTATAGGAGTATATTATTATTTCAAAATAATTTGATTTGGTTGAGCTTTGTTGATATTATGGCAAAGCTTCATATTTCCGATTAACTAATTTTATTCTTTTGTACATTAAACCGAGGCAGCATATATGTATGTATATTATTCTTGTATGAATGAAGTTGTTAATTAAATACCAAAATTTTGAAAAATTTCTAAAACATTACAAACAACTAAAAATCTGTTTTTTTTTTCAAGAAAAGCCAGTGCAATATTTGTAAAGCTTATATAAATGTTATTTTACCAAATTGCTAACTTTGACTGTTTTAAAAACGAACACATTACTTTTGAGTTTTTGAAATGCTTTGAGATACAAAAGTATAAAGAAAGCAAAATACAATTATTAACTAAAAATATTGAAATTAAATCAAAAATAGAAATCGCAATCAGAACTTTATTTATTAACTACCTTACTAGTTTATTATAAATTGGACTAAGTAAACTAAACTGAAATTTGTAATAAATGGGTCGATGATAATGAGTCATTTTCCAAACCGGAATTCTCAATTTTTTAAATTAGGCATTCCATTTTTCCAATAGACTTATTCGATTTTTCTATTCGATCTAGTAATTATGTATATATACGCACATAATTATAGTTATATACATACATATATACTTAATTATCAGTATAAAAATTATATTATGTAGCTTAGTTTAGAATAACTATAAAACAAAATATTGTTTATAGAAATCCTCGTAATTTTATTGTGAAACATTTGTATTTATTATTATAAAAAACGATTTTTTTTGTGTCGTTTATAAAAGTTATTTCCTTAGTTTCACAAATTTTTAGAATATTTATTATTTCTTACTAATTTCGAGATTTACGTCATCCTCAGGAGGTAATCTCCCTAGTCATCCTAAGGAGATTACCGCCTGAAGATGAGTAGGGAGATTACCTCCTGAGGATGTACGTCATATCCTTAAAAATTTAGTTTTCCTAGTAAACTTAATAATAGTAATTAGTACAATACTTAATCTCCCTGATCTCAAATCGTTATTAACATTTCAAATCAAGTAAGCAAAATTTTTGGTTGGCTTTAGTAAAGCCGGCTTTAATTCAAGTAACGTTTATATAGACATAAAATAGACTTCAAGTATGTACTCTTGAAGCAGCTATACAGAACATTATACAAATTTTTAATCTTTAAATGAAATTTTAAGCAATGGATATAGCTCTCATAAATTCGAATGTTTTTACACCAACTTTTATGAAATGAAAAATAAAATATAATGAAAAATAAATTTTGTTTTTATCAAAATAAAAATAAAATTCTTACCTAAACTTATTTAAATTTCATTTCAATTCGATGTTTTTGATGCGATCCTTTGTTTACAATATTTTGTTTCTTGCCTACAAAACTTTTATAATCATCTATTTCTTAATAAAAATAAGCAGGCGAAAATTAACGGCTTGGAACGAGTTGAATTACTTATAAAGTAGATATGTATATTTTGATTGAAATCTAAAATTTGTAGTATTGCAATACATCTATAAAATTTTACTAGAACAGTGCGCTGATAAAGAGTAAGAATTCATAATCTTCAAGTATATAAGTACTTGTTTTTTTTTACGGAAACTGGAAAGTGGAATTCAGTACATAGAAAATTCGATTGAAGAGCGTTGCAGTCTTTTATTCAATAGTTCTATAAGACATTATTACTTGAAATTTAATCACATTCCGAAATATAAGTAATTTGAAGTACTTTCACTTATTCGGTACTCACAATATTATTTACATAAATTCATGCTATAGATATTGCGTGATGCCCTCTGTAAGTTGTAATGAAGTCATACTGGCACAGATTATCGTAAATATAAAATATATTTTCGAGTAAAAGTAATTTTTATATAAATAATACAATATAAATAATAATATTTTCTCATCAATATTAAGCCATAATTAAAAAAAATCAACTGAATTTGTGTTTTATCAGTAATCTTTTTATTATTAGAATGAAAAATTAATGTTTTAGTTATTTTAATAATTTTTTCTTTTGGTGTTAGTGTTTGGTCAGAGGATTTTATTAACAGTTACATTTATTGATTTTATTTTCATGCCGTTATTTGTGCGTGAAAAAAGGCAGTATATACATACATATATGTATTTCTTGTATACATATGTTTGAAAATAGGTATAGGAAAATAGAATAGGAAAATCTAGGAATGTATTCACTCTTGCAATTAACTTTTTCAAGTTATGGACCTTCAATAAATACTTTTTTATGTTATTAGATCATGTAATCCTATTTTTAATAAAAATGAGTTTAAAGATTTTGACAAATTAAAATAGAAATAAATGTAAAGTTCATATAAAATTTTAATTATTTTTAGCTCAAAAGTTTATGTAAATAGTTATATTTTTCACAAAGTGATAAAATGAAGTGTAAATGCTGAGAAATTATTTTATTATAAGCATAAGAAATTGTTTTAGTTTTAATAAAATAGTTTTTTTAGTTAAGAAAAAATTCTTTACTATACTTATCATATTACAAAAACCATGATAGATAAATACGTACTCGTATATGTATACAAAATATGGAAACCAAAGTTGAAAAGGTTAAATGGGGTGGTTTAAGTAAAATTAGAAATGAGAAAGATAATTTTCGAAAAGACAGTGTTATTTAAAAAATAAATATAAATTTTTAAAGATCCCCCCCTGTAATTAAAAAAATTATACTTAAGTGTAAATAATGCATGCGGTTCTTTTAAGATGCTTTCACATGTACATACATAACATTGTTAAAATGCTCACTACGGCGCACTACAAAATATAGACCAATTGTCTATTGATACTAAATAATTTTAGTGTTACCACAGAGATGGATATTTTGTGAATGTGAAAAACGAAATGTTTACGAACAAAGAAAGGCATAAAATCCCTTGTGCCTAGTCCAATGAAAAAGTAGGGGTAGTATAAGAATATTCGTTCGTTTTGTTTTTAGATTCACTGAGATATTTTGTTTGTAGATTAAGGTTAATTTTTATTATAACAGTTATAAAAGAACGTACCATTAATAAAAAAAGGCGAAATTGATTTAGAAAAGTAAAAATTAGGAAAAAGCCATGAAAAAATAATTATTATGTTTTTTTTAAAACCAACAATTCCCAAATATTCCATATTTTTTATATGAGTTTAAAAAAATCTTTAAGTGTTTAAGTAGATTTAGCAAACATGCCGGATTTCTGAATTTCTTGAAAAGTTTGTCAGTTAGTTCGGTTTCCGAGACCAGATCTTTGCAAAAAATTTATAGGTTCATTATTTTAACATTCCGAATAAAATAATAATATGATTATTTCTCTTTATATGCGCAAAATTGTAAATTTGATCCACCAAAAGTCCAATTCAATCAAATCGTGACATAGTTGAAATAAACTCACATATAAAATTTCATCAAAATCGGTTCAGTCGAAATGAGATGCAGGCGTGCCGTTAGGCAGACATACCGACATCTCTCTACAACTAGTTTATTTGCGCTTCCTTCCGACATCCGAAATTTGGTGCGATCACATAACCTCCTTTATTGTATGAAATGCGGTTGGTAAAAAAGAATGATACAGCTGTTTATTGTTTGCCATCTTATAACATCCCTTATTGTATGCAATGCGGTAGGGAAAAAGAATGATACAGCGAGGACCTTCGTTCATGCAGGCTGCGCTAAAAGTTCCACATTAGAACTAAATTCAAAATCGCTCCAAAACAAGGAAATTTTAATAAGATTTAAAATTTTTAAAAAAACTTACTTTAATAACCACTCAATATCTAAATCTGTCATTTGTAATTAAAAAAGAAATTTCATGAGGCAGCGACAAAATTTAAGCTAGAGATATGCGGTACATTTCTAACATTTCTTAATTACAAATTGAATTTCCGAACGCACTTTATTATAGCCGGTAATTGCCGAACGATTTATATATTCAGTGTATGTAGCGTGAATTTTCGAACGTACTACAACTTAGAACTATTCTAGAACTGAATAAACGAAAATTCCAAGCTGTTTATCGTCCACTAATTTTTTCTTTGGCAGAGGGTAATTTTTGTTTTTTGCTCGTTTTTCCTTCCATATTTCCAATAAAGTTTTATTGTGACAATAATGACAGGATCCATTCATAATTTTTAATGCTTTTATTTGCTATAGAGTATAGAAGAAAATACAAATAGAGTTTAATCCATTTTCTTATTATTTCATTCTATTTTGGTGGAAATTTTTATAACATAAACTACATTACATAATATGTAATAAGAAACATGCAATAAAATATATTCATATCTGAAGTTTAATTAAAATTTTTACTTAAAAAGTTTTCACAAACGAATTTTTATTTATTTAAGAAAATCATGAATAATAATTTGAAATAAAGCATGTTTGTTTCAATTTATTTTATACGCAAACTCAATGTGCGTTTCTCTGTAAACGAATTTTCTTACTTAAAACACTATATATGTACTACATATATATATGTACATACAAATATTGAGAACTTTGAACTGATTTAAAAAAACAAAACATTAAAAAATTAATAAAAAAAAGTATATGTATATAGCGTGTTAAGTAACATTATGAACAAAAATAAGAAATAAATTTTTTTCCAAGTTGGATTTATGCCAAAAAACCATTTTCATTTAAAATGCCAGGCTCGAGGAATATGATATTTATAGATGAGAAAGCACTTGATAGGAATATATTACTTTTTTTCCTTAAAAATCTGCTATGAATGCAGGGAACTTAATATGTAAGTAGCGTAGTAGATGTGAAGAAAAAAATCAGATAAAACAAAAACAATTCATAAACACATAACTTAACAAAATGATGAATGAAGAACAAAAAATCGATAATTCATGAGTTATGTGTTATATTTGTCATATAAAACGTACATACATATATGAAATTCCATACATATGGGCAGCATAAAACAAATTAAAGCAAATGTGTATGACTAATTTATCAAGCAGTCAAAATGTTAAAATTATTTTTTGTATTGTTTGATCCAAAGTGTCTATTTAGTATTAACTAATAAAATCTATTATATACATACATATTAAAATGTTGTTTAAGACAGAAAATTCGTAGTTTCTGAAACAACTAGAATAAAATCTTTTGTATGGATGTAAATTCAACATTAAATTTTCAATTTTTTTAATTTTGCTTTTCTTAATTTCGGTGTTTTTCAACATATGGGGTAATATAAAAGTTATCTTTGCCTTTTGTTTATAAATGTATATATACACAATGTATATTGTTCATTTATATACATACATATATGTATGTAAATATAGATTTTTCCCTTTTAACTTAGAACTAAATATGAATTTATTTTTCTTTCCGAAAAATTGATTTTGAATAGTTTTAATTCAGAGTGTAGTAAATAATAAATAATCAATTTTTAGAAAATATACGATTTTTATATATTTTGATATAATTAGAATTTTTAAACAATAATTCAACATTAAACAATTTACAACAAATATGTAAAGTAACTAGATTTTCATTGATATAATATTCGTAAGAAGAAATAATTTAACTATTAATATTATTCGAAGAAATAATTTAATTTAGGCTCATCAAGTACCTAAGTATAACTATTCAACATCGAATTCATCGTATTTTAATGTTTTGTTATTAACACCTAACAAAACAAGTATTTAATGATTGTTCGTTAAAACACAACCTTGACATTATAGGAATTCTGATATCGATTTACAATAGCATGTTCCAATTTTTTACCAAAATATAGACCTAACTTCAGTTTTACCTATTCTACAATGCAGTTTAAATTTTAAAATAAATCGCTGAATTTATGAAAGCATAAGGAACTATTGAAGAGTAGAAGTTATAGAAATTGGGTTCTGAAAAGACATTCCAAACACTTATGATGAACAAGAGGTGATGTCTGAAAGCTTGGCGAAATTAAGACACGATAGAACACTATAAATACTTATTATTGATATTTTCTATTCTGAAATTACTTTACTTTTTAAATATTTTTAAAGAATTGTTAATTAGTTATTTGTCAAAATTTCAATTAGAAAATTTCGATAGAAGAAAGAAGCACCATTTTTTTAACTACCGTCAGATAAGTACAAAATGAATCCATTTATTCATTGTTTTCAACAATATATAATTATGATCAAACTGAGTTTATAGTTGAATGTACGACAATTTATGATTTGTTGCCTTAAGATTTTATTTCCTATGCTGTTGCATAGAACTTAATGCTGTTGCATAGGACTCCTATGCTGCTAACTTTTTTACATGATACGTACATTCTTTTTCCCCTTTATATATTTTCATAAAAGTTTTTTTTACAAAATATTTAAGTATATATATTAAACTTTCAGATTATAATGATTATTTTTCGGATTATGATTGCAATTTGCCGCTCATGGATAATGCAGATCTATCAGCAACTTCTGCGTTAGCTGATCGAGGAGCCGATAAAGCCAGATTGAATAGTAAGTCATAATTAAATATATGTTGTAAATATTTTATTATATTATTATTAAAATAGTGTATGCTTTTAGTATATTTTTTATTAAATAATCGTAATATATATTTGGTTTTATATTTTAAATTAATTTTAATTTTTTTTGTTGTTATAATGTAGGAAACCCGTTTAATGGAATCAGAGATGAAATTTTCAATAAATTTTCGTTATTGAAAATAGTTTAAAATTTTATTATTTTATTTTCTTGTTCGTATCAGAATTTATTTTAGCTTTTTGTCAAGGCGGCTTTTGTTTTGATGTAGTTAAATTTACTTGAAAAAAGTAAAAATGAAAATTTTTATGTCTTTTCTTTATAATGGATACAAGAATTTGTTTTATAATTAAAAGTAACTAAGCCTAAAAATGCCTAATCAAAATATTTTGCATAACATAAAAGATACAAAATCTCAGAAAATCGTATCTCTGACTCCAATAAACTTTGGTGTCTCAATAAATTTAGAAAATAAAATTAAAGAATAACACAATTTGCTTTATTTTAACACTTTTTGAATAATCGATACTCTAGCCTTTTTATTGAATATTTTTTAATTAAATATAGTATGTACACGTAGTTAAAAATTTGTGCTCGTCTTTAGTTTAAAAATTTCGTAATAAACAATCTAATAAGAGAAAAAAAAGAATGTAAGTATAGAAATCGTGATTTACAATTTTGTACTAAATTTTTTATTAGAGTTAAAGAAAACCTAAAGACAAAAGAAATTTAAAGTGGTTCTCGATTGCTTTTATGCTTTTTATTATAGTAATATGCATTATGCATTGCGATAAATCTTTTCAATACCGTATTTGTGTTTGTGCATGCCTATATTGCACAAGGATTTCTCGAAAGTTCTTTTACCTTTTCGTTATAGGATCGAAATAATTTATGTTTATAGAAAAAGAACAAATCAATAAATTTTCTTTTATTTTACATATCAAATATGTAAGTATGAACATAGGTGCGTTTTTAAGAACACACTTCGTAGTATGTACCTACTTACATATGTACAATGTCCTAGATATTTATTACTCGTATCATATGGTTTCCTTTTTGCAAAATTCATGCTTTCTACTTCAGTTTTTAAAAACAGAAAATTAATTCCAATATCAAGCTATGTATGTGATTATATTTGATTTTTAAGATTTAATTTTTGTCAACAGATGTTGTTGTTTAAAGTGCAGTATCTACTCAGGATATTTTATGTTAAAAAAGGCAAAAAAATAAGAAGCAAAATAAATTTTTAATCTTGTTTACGTTGTGTGCCTTTAAATACATATGTAATTACCATAAACATCTTGATATAACAGTTTGGTTTCCTGTTTCGTACATACATAGGTATACTTGCCTATACTTACTATGTATATGCAAATACATGCATTTGTTTAAATTAATAATTGATTTTATATATGATTTTTTAATAATTGATTATACTGTTCATTAGTCATTTATTGATATTATGATATTAGACATTGCACAAAATTTTGTAATATGAAAAATCAAACACATGTACAATAATGGTGTATCAATATAAATATATCATGTGCGTATACAAGTTTGTTGATTAGATCCATCGCATAACAGATGTTATTGAAAGATAGAAAGGCAGATATGCTCTGCTCTATTTTTAGATGTAGCTCAGCATTCGACAAGGTGTGGCATGAAGACCTCGCAAGCAAACTGTACAGATACCTACCAAAACATTTTGTAGATCTTATATCTTCCTATCTGGCCAAAAAAGTATTCAGAGTCAAAGTTGATGATGAGGGAGGTGTGCCGCAGCGAAGTATACTGGGTCCTATTTTCTATCTCCTCTTCACAAGTGATATTCCGGTACCCGAAAACGTTATTGTGGCTACATTTGCTGATGACACTGCGTTGTTGACGCTGATCTAGTTCAATGGGGCTAGCGATGTCGTACTCGACTGGACCAAAAAATGGAACATTAATTTAAATGTATCTTAGTCAGTTCACATTAATTTTTCAAACAAACATGTAAATCAACACTTATCCATCTGCATAAATGGCGCACTCATTCCATTTCAAACCACTGCCAAATTCTTGGGAATGCACTAGACACAAAATTGAATCTTTCGCTGCACAATAAAATCCTAATATAAGCAGATATTAAAGCCCGTCTGGTTATACGGCATTCAGTTATGGGGTCGCGCAAAGCAGACTCACATACAAAAGATTCGACGCTTCCAAAATAAAGTATTAAGAAATATGGTCAATGCGCCTTGGCATGTCCGCAACGACGATTTGCACAGGGATCTCAGTATAAACTGCGTCAAAGAAGACATTGAACTTGCAGCCAACAAACACAGCATCAGATTGCAACAGCATATAAATATCGAAGCACATCGACTCCAGGACGTTAATCCGTCACTAGAAAATTAAGAAGAGCCAAATCTGTTGACCTATAGTCAGGTGCTAGCATATGTAATATCATTCATGATATTACGGCATATTCGCCAGTTTCGACTTTGGGGAGCCGCTTGGTGGTCTGAAGTTAAACTTAACCTAGTTTTAAGATCAACAGAAAAATGCTGATGATTGGTCCTTTGGGACCAGTTTTAGTACAAATTTCAAAAAAGAAATTTCGAGAAAGGATTTTATTTTATTTAAAATTTCAGAAACGAACGAAATTACAAACAAGCTTTATTAATAATTCTTCGGAATAATAATATAAAGTTGTGTTACTATTTTTTAATAAATATATGAAGTTTTTATAAATGAAAGCCCTTTTAAAATCTAATTTGAATGCTTTCAAGTAACATAATCAATTATAGTAAATATAAAGCAAAATTATTTATAATTTTCGTTAAGTGAATAAATTTGTAGATTTTAGATTTCGTTAACTTTTATATACATATTATAATTTATTATTATTTCATATGTTATTACTTTTCCTCATTTATGTGTGTGTTTTATTTTTTACACACGTTTTATATGTACGTTTGTTAAAAAAGTACGTACATATAAAACGTGTAAAATTTAAAAAAAAAATGAATTTATTTTCAAGTTGATAAAAATTTTTAGTTTTAGAGTGTATTAAATAGCACGTGTCGAACGTTCATATGTCATTTTTATTACACTGTGTCGTTATTTTGAAACATACCGTAGCTATGAAAATGAAACATTTGATAGGCAAGTGTGGTGAAATAAAAAATGAAATGTTGAAAAGCGAAACGAACATATGCTATGTGACATTTGTATTGCTTTATATCTAACATCATTTGTTAAGATATTCTGTTTATTTTATAAAAGTACGATTAAATATTGCAGTAGACATGCAAATTTAATGTTTAAAACAGAATGAGCTCAAATTTTCGATGCATTAGATGGGCTGTAGATTTATATCAGTGGAAACCATCAATACAAGAACTAAGTTTGGCCATATCATGTATACAATTAGAAGAAAAAGAGAGATTAATGAAATTTGTTTTTCAAGAGGATTTTTATTCGTCGTTAGTTGGAAGACTGTTAATGCGTAAATTTGTTAAATCGGTAACGAATATAAGTTATGAAAAAATCCATTTCGAACGCGATGAAAATGGTAAACCATTTCTAACAAACAATCTCGATGAAACTCAGCATTTGAGTTTTAATGTTTCACATCAAGGCCGTTATAGTATTCTTGCTGGAATTTTCCATAATAAAGTTGGGTCTTCTGCAACACCTTTAAACTGTGAAGATGTTCATGTTGGTGTTGATGTTATGAAAATTGAATACAGTGGAGGAAAATCTATTTCTGAATTTTTTCGCATTATGAATAGAAATTTTTCCGAAGATGAGTGGAAATTGATAAAAAAAAGTTCAAATGAATTAAATCAGTTGAGATTATTTATGAGACATTGGTGTTTGAAAGAAAGTTATGTTAAGAATATTGGAATAGGTATAAAAATTGATTTGAAAAAAATTTCTTTTAATATTAAATCTGAAGAAGCAGATCCAAATAAAATCCATACTAATACCGAATTAAGTGTTAATGGAAGTCTTTTAGACAATTGGAAATTTGAGGAACATACGTTAGATGAATATTACTGTGCAGCTATTGCATTTAAAAACTGGAATAAAGAAATAAAATCTGAACCATTTGTTATTTTAAGCTGCGCAGAGCTTTTAGAAAATTGTGTTCCATTAGTTGAGGCAGATGAAACGTATTGCCAAGAAATTTTAAACAAGGAATGTAAAGTTAAAAGAAAATAAAAATTTTTTATGTAAAATTAAATTTCCAATTTCACTCCTATAACAAAATTTATAGATATTCGCTATTTTCCTCTAAAAAGCTTTTCGAATGATTAAATGTTGAATCCTTCAAACAAAAATTATTGAATTCGTATGCATGTGTGACAAGCTTGCAAAAAAGCAGTTTTTGAAATTTTCATATATAAAACCATATACGACAAACCTAGAAATAGTCTTTCTGCATTATGTTTTTAATTATTTTTGATTAAAAAATGATTAAAAACCATAACGTATTCCATACTTTCCACAATCTCTTTATATTTTTCAAATAAATTTAAAATGTATTATATAATTTGTTGTGACTGATTAATACTTAGTTTTCGCATATTGCATAACAATTAATAATTGTTATGTTTTTTAGACATTTGTTTTATATTTATATTTCTTAATCCACGGTTAAAATATTTAAAAATACATAAGTATGAAATGTATGAACTATGTATTTTTCGCACCTCGAAAATTAGGGCTTAAATGAAATCGATTATAATAAGATAACCGAAAATAAGAGCAATCAATTAAGTGTAAAACAAGTCCTGTTGATTGCTCTATGTCGTAAGGTTTTGAAGTTATAATAATTTATTTATATACAAGAAAAATCTGATATCTTTTTTTCAGCAGGCTGTAGCTGGAAACCGAGTATATTTGCACCCCTCCAGCCATAGAATTATTGCTGAAAGAATCATCCCTGAAATTATTTGCTTATGCGAAACACCCTGTATAGTATTGTAAAATGTAAAGTGTATTCATCACGTTTTGTTTTTCTTTGTAGTAATTAGTAATTGCTTTGCAGAATTGCTTTTATGAAAAATCAATATAGGAACATAATAAAACCAATATAGGAACATATACATATATGTTTAGTGATAGGATGGATTTTTATTTTTTGTAAATTAATTTAGAAAATTAAAACTTTTAAATCAGTAGTTTTCACATAATTATTTAAAAAAAAACATAATTAATATGTTTATAGTAATTTATCATAATTAATTTTCGAGTACTAAAGTTTGTTGCACAAGGTAATACATGTAAATAAGTACATACATATGTAGTACAGTAATGTAAAAAACATGTATGGTGTTCATACAATTGAAGTAGCATTTCTTACCACTTGCAATGAGTAAAATTATGCGACAATATCCAATCAATTAAATTTTGTTTGATCAATATCACAATTATTTCATTTTTGCTTGATTTTATATACGCTTTATAAAATTTTATAATTTGTGTATGGATATTGTCATGTTAATTTTGTACACGCGTTTCAAATTCGATATATGAATATTGCAAAATATCCCTTCAACATTCTTTTCCGGTTTTCAAGTAGTTAAAGTTTATGTACATTCAACAATGTTGTTATTTTTATTGATTTTTCTCAAAAGGAGGAGTATAAGTGTTCTGATTGAAAGTATAAATACAACAATACTTCATGATTTATGTGAATATTTTTTGTTTTTTTTTTTTCTTGTAAAACTAAGTAGAACTTTTTAACAGTGAAAACGTTTTATATCTTGTTTTTTACTATGACATTGAATTTTTTACTATGAATTGAATAGTACCTATATATACATACGTTTTCACTTTTGCACTAAATATTTTGTGCACTATATATATATATATATATATATATATATATATATATATATATATATATATATATATATATGTAAAGTTCAGAGAGCGTGAGTCATGTATAAGCATAATGTAGATGCTTATACATGACTCGTGTGTTTATCAATTTAACCCCCAACATAACTACGTATTGATATGACATTTTAAAATTGTTAAATATTTGTACAAAAATTGTATTTCCTCTTATATTTATAGCTTGATGTGAAACCGGAAACTTAAATAATTAAATAAATTTCAATCAAATACTCTTTCAAATTTTCTTTAAAAATTGTAAATTTAGTGCATAATACATATTTCGTTTTATTTATAAACGTGTAATGTACTTTATCGAATTTGATACCGTGATTTTAATTTTCCTATAAAAATTGAAAACTTTGTTTTCCTATGCTGTTAATTTTTTTGTCTATTGGAGAAAGTCTTTAATTTTTAATATTTTTTTTTTTAATTTTTTGTTAAGTAACAAAAAATTTCAATTGATTGAAGTATTGCTAGAAGCGTAAATAAACTATTTTTAGAGAGATGTCTGTCGGTCTGTCTGTGCTGATCAGTATCTCAAGTTCGGCTGAGCTTTTCAAGTTATTTGCTCATATACAGAGAAATAATCCATTTTTACCGACCGTATTGTGTATACAATAGATAGGTTATGTGATCGCAACAAATTTAGCATATCGAGTTCTCGGTGGGAATGCACTTCTCCACAGTAGGGAAGTGTAAATAAACTATTTTTAGCAACCTGTCGGTCTGTCGGTCTGTCGGTCTGTCGGTCTGTGTGTGCACGCGTGTATCTCAAGTTCTGCTGAACCGATTTTGATGAAATTTTATATGTAAGTTTATTTCCACCGTGACACGGGTTGATTAACTTTTGGGATATATCAGGCCAAGGGAACTGCACTTTTTAGCGGGCCTGTTTTACATTTTTGGTCATTTTGAAGAAAATATTCAGCCGATTTACTTGAAATTTCATGTATAAGCTTTGCTCGACCGTCCGCGAAAATTCCTATGTTTTGGAAGAAATCAGGCATCGGCAAATTGACGTTTACTACGGGCCAAATATACATTTTTGTGTATATAAACAGAAATAATCAACCGATTTCATTGAAATTTAATATATGAATTCTTCGTATTAAAAAAATGAATATATAAATTTTTTGGAAAGAACAGGACTTACATTTTGATGGAATTTCTTGAAATTTCATATTTGAGTTCTGATGGGCATTTCAGAGAATTCGGGTAGCACAAAGCGAAACTTTACTAAGAGCCAAATTTACATTTTTTTATGTATGTTAATTATAAGCGTACTAATGCCCTAAAAATTGGAAAGAACTATTTAACAGATATTTTTGTAATACTCCGTAACACGTTCACTTAACCAGACAATACACAATGCGGTCGGTTATGTGCTGACCACATCAGATTTTTTTCTTGAAATTTCATAATTAAAATCTGGTTATTGAAACAACGAACCAAAAATTTTTCGGTAATAGGACTTGGAAACAAAACCTTTATAACGGGCCACTTATACATATTTGATCATATCTCAAGAACTAATTGACGGGCTTATATTTAATGTTCTTTTTACCTAATAAAACTTTTGATGTTCTATTCAAAGCTGGAATAAGATATCGTTTAAGAATAAGGAACCTTTTTCATTAGATGAAAAGGAGAAGAAGGTTCCTTATTCTATATACATAAAATGTTCTTCGCATCAAACTATGCACAAATAATGTTTTTTTTTAGGGAAGATTTTCAGGAGAGATTTTGGTAAATTTTTTTGAAAATATATTTTCCTCTTGTAAATTTCCTGTGTAAATGTCTGTTACAAAGTTAGCTATTTCGTGATTATGTTAGAATTGAAAATTTGATATTCATTAAACAATTTAAATAAATAAATTTAATTCGACATTCAATAAAGTTTTATAACAATATTAGAGTAAGTGATATTCATTTAATAAATACATAATAGGATCATTTTTTTTAAAAGCGGAAATTTTAAATAATTTTAATAAATAATGTAATTAGAAATTGCTTCTCTTTTCGGCTTATTTCGTTGTATGAAATATTTATACAAAAAATTATTTGTTTTAAAAGTTTGACAATGTTGTTTTTTGTAGATATTATATTACTCAAAATGTGGCGGTGATATTACAATTTTGCTTATTATAACATTAATGTAATGCTAATTCGAAAATTTAATAGTCTGGGTCTCTGGGATATAATTTACTGTTCTTATAATGTTCTCATTAATATTTTTTCACATTTGAAACAATATAGTAAGTTTTCAACTTTTTTCCGGTAATATAAAGTGTGATAACATGCAACGAATAACTCTATTTTTAAATTTTTTAGAACTTGTATTGCAATTTTTTTTATATTTTCAAATCTATGTACATATGTATTTTTCTAATATATGTTTAATATATTTATTTATAAATTTTCATTTTTATACTTGAATATATTTAGCCTACCGTGGGAAATCAGCACTTGATGAATACATAATTGAATCTTAATTTAGTTCTTTATTTTTAGCACTTTTCCAAAAAAATTTTGAAAAAGGTGCTTATTAGTTTAACTCTGTCTGTCCGTCCGTGGAAATGCTTACAAAACTTCTACACCCTTGAATATAGAAAGCTGGGATTTAATATGTACATAGATCTTTACTAGAAGCTTATTTCCGTAGAAGAAAATTTGTAGCTATCTCCCCTCCTCTAGAAGTTACACTCCCCTATTTTTTCTATCTCCCCCCTCCTCAGGTTATCGGCTCTTGAAATTTGTAAATTTGAATTTTTGACGCGTTATATTTCCGAAACCGCATGGTTTTTGAAATTTTTATAACAGCAAAAAGTTAACGGTAAATTTCATGACATTAAAATGTATAATTATTTTTCGTAACTCACACAATTAACCCTCAAAATCGAGCATTATATTAACCCCTCTTTATATTAATTTTTGCTTTGTTTCAAAGACTGCATAAAACGTTCATCCAAAATAAGTATACATATGTAATACTAGAAATAGTTTCATTTATGAATGAGAATAATTTTAAGAGTGTGGTCTGTATACATAGACTGTATTTAAAAGCAGTACTTTCACTTGTTAAAGGGAGAAGTGCTACAATAGAAACCATTGGTTTGACCCAACTTTATTTTTTCACCCTTCATTCTTTTGTTTTAAGCAAACTCAAGAATATCATATAAAAGATTTATAAAACTTCATAAATTCATAATATTCATAATATTCAATTTCATAATATTCAAAAAGAAAAATTCATAATATTCAATTCAATATTCAATTCAAATATGTAAATAAAAACGGTCTTTTCATAATCGTAGCATATCGCGATGTATTGCGACAACT